TGCGAGGAAATTTACTACAGGAACCTTGAAGGGGCTAAACAAAGTATAGCACAGTCAGTGTAGGTAGTTCTTGATTTACAACCATTCAAAGTTACAATAAGACTGAAAGAAGTAACTTACCACCAGTCTTGCGTTTAAGACTCTGATAGCATCCCCACAGTCACATGAATAAAATTCAGATACTTGCTGACTGGCATGTATTTGCACAGTTGCAACGTCTCAAAAATGTGATTATCGTTTGGGTCCTCTCCAGCTCTCTTCCGACAATGGGGGAAACTGGATACGCTTAGCAACTGTATGATTCATTCAACAACTGCAGTGATTTGCTTAACAACCATGGCAAAAAAAGGTTGTAAAATTAGGCATGACTTGCTTAAAAAAACACCTTACTTAGCAAGGGAAATTCTGGTTCCAACTGTAGTCATAAGTCAAGGACTATCTGTACCTGCCTAGATTTCCAACTTGTAGTCTACCCTGGATTCCACTGCAAGGAAAAAAATTGGATCTAGGTTTCCCCCCCCCCCTTTCAAAACAAATGTCATTAAAGCAAGCAGTGAATAGCAAGTGGAAATATGAATACAGCAAACATCCAAAGTGCAGAGTAAGCAGAATTAACTTATTCTGTTGGAGGGGAAGACAAGCGAAAGAAAAACAACAACAATTTTAGTAGGCATTAGAATTGCTACAACCATCATGATAGTAATCATATTTAGGTCCTGGCAATGTGATTTTCATGTACCCCGTTATTCATACTGTTTGCAGGGAAGAATGGATGTAAGCAGTACAGTCTATGGGGATGGAGGTGATAGGGAGTTGAGCAGCAGGGAATCAATGTTTAAAAGGGGAACCAAGGCAAAAACCTCCATGCAGAACCTACACACAGAAGGGGCTACATGTCACTGGCAGGAAATGAGTGGGCAGGCAAGGGGGGCTGTAGGAAGGGGGAAGGGGGAAGGTTAGGAGGCCCAACTGGGTTGGCAGAAAGCTGGCTTTACCTCACAGTTTGCCTTTCCTGCCTATAGGATTTTAATAAAACAAAAATACTTCTTAAACGTAGTCATTCTTCTTATTGAAAGTCTGGATGCTGATGAAAGCGAAGTCATTTGACTTTCTCTGCAACTGCCAGCATGCCGGGTATAAAAATCCTTATTCCACCCTGTCCTTCTTTCATTTCTGGCTTAGCCCAGCTGGAACCAAATAGGCTGGAAAGTTTAGTTAGTTTGCTTTATATATTTTTTTCCTGGAATCCAAACAGACGCTAAAAGAAAACCTTGAAAAAAGTAGCCCCTCCTCCTATTGACATATACTGAAACAGTGTTGGTCTGTATAAGAATGTCTGTGTGTGGCCCAGCAGTTAATTTCTAGAAATTGAAGAACAAAATTTAATTTAGAACTTGTACCATTTATCCTCTAGCTATGTAGTTTAGTTTTGATTCTGCATTGGCAAACCCAGATTGGAAAGTTTAAAAAGATTAAAAACTATTGCAGAAGTTAATTTACTTTTTTGGATAACAATCACTTAAATCACCTAGAAGACAATTTTGGAATTTTATCTCTTTTTACTCAAATCCTTCTGCACTTGTTACACCTTTTCTAAACCATCTTCTATGTTCAGAGGAAGTATATCTCTGCCAAATATTTATGATAAACAAAAAAGAAATTTATAGACAATCTGGAAAAAGGCAGCTGGCAACTGTTAGGACAAAATGCCTAGTCAAAAGAAACCCCCTGCCTTCACCCTTTAGGGTTGATGCTTTGGATGTCACCTAGATATTAATAGTTCTGGTATAAATAAATGAGATATGATTGTGGATTTGTAAATGTTCATTAAAGCCACTTAACCATAGTGCAACATATCTCAGACATCCTGTAACCGTGGACTAAATAAACATTCAACAAAGGTAGGTTCCAGCCAATTAAACATCTTCCCACACATTTTTTTTGCCTTCAAGGGTCTCCCCCAACAAATAAGTAATGATTATAATTGCATTTGTGCATTTCTTCCCATCCCTTTCATTTTTAAAGATCCTTTAAAACTAAACCATTCCTTGAAAATTATTTACTAATTGAATTATGTACTTCATGCCATAATAAACAATAATTCCTTAACAGAGACTTGCTGGCCGAAGTGCAAAAGGCCTTGGAGCAAGAGATCCTCATTCCTCATGAAAACCCATTTTTAGATATTTATCATGGTACCTATTTGTACTTTGGGGGACTGTGATATGGGATTACACTTGGGACAACACATGTAGATGCACATTCAAGATATGTTCAGTACTTCAGTTCTCTGAGTGTTGGTAATGTTGCTACTATTCGTATCACTCCTTTCCTTCAATGAGCCACTTTTAAAACCTTGATCCATTTTTCACCAACCGACTGACTGCTGACTGCTCAGTCTCTCCCTGCTGCGGAGGGAGAGACTGAGGGGTGCATAGGGGTTATCCCAAAACCTACATGATGATTACAACTGCACTACTGAATATTGTATACCTAAAAATGAGGCAGGACTTTGACTGCGGTCTTGTGTTTTGTGATCCTGACAGCTTTGTGAATGGGTCCTATCCACCTGCCTCTTGGTACATGCAGAGAAGTGTAGTGAGCAAGCCAACCATCTGGTCCACTTCCCTAGACCAGACAGCTCTTTGGGAATCCCTGCTCTAGTAGTTTGAAGATCACAACCTAAAGCATTGCTTCCCAAACCTTTTCCTTCATTGTCGCAAACTATCTAATAGAAGTCTTTTTTTACCCAATGTAGGTAAAACACTTTAAATCAGCTTAAATGTTCCTGTTGTGATCAGCTAATGCAGGGGTCTTCAAACTTGGTCCTTTTATAACTTGTGGACTTCAACTCCCAGAATTCCTCAGCCAGGCACGCTGGCTGAGGAATTCTGGGAGTTGAAGTCCACAAGACATAAAAGGGCCAAGTTTGAAGACCCCTAAGCTAATAGGTTTGAGTACCTTTACCCACAGAAAAAACAACCTTTACTCAACGTTAGATAATTTACCCAGATTTGAGAACCATTAGTTTGAAGTATAGCAGGCAGGCTTAGTATCTGAGGAGTAAAAAGCTTCGACCCCAATAAAATTGCCTCCCAGAGTACCTCCAAACATTATAGTTAATCCTCGATTTATGACCACAGTTGAGCCCAAAATTTCTATTGCTAAGTGAAGCATTTGTTAAGACAATTTTGTCCCATTTTACAACTTTTCTTGCCACAGTTGTTAAGAGGTCAGTTGCCAAGTGTTTCAGTTTTGATCACATGACCATGGGGAATGCTGCAACGATTGTAAGTGTCAAAAATGGTCATTAAGCCACCTTTTTCAGTGTTGTTGTAACTTTGAATGGTCACTAAATGAATGTTGTAACTTGAGGACTGCCTGTATTGTCCATTTTTAGTAATGAAACTGATAAATGGGATTAGGGATTAAATAAACATGGTTGTGGTCATATTATTGATACTGCATTTTAAAAGAAGTCAAATTATATTTTTGTTTAAGTGGATGGTCCTCAGCATGCTTCTTGGTGCTTAGAAGCAAATTCTGGCTTGCACACTCTGGCATTAATCTCATTTAGCATGCATGTTAAAGTGTTCCTGATTTTTTTTTTACACAACTATTAAAAGTGCAGTAACCTGTCCTTTTTTACCTGCTGCCCAGTCTTCTAACAACGGTAACCAAGGAGACAGCCACCTCTGGCATACAGTAATTCAAACACTATCTAAAAGCAAGGGAACCAGCAATTTTCAAAGCAGCTCCACTTAAGAACATTTCTTTATGATTACATTTATATTTCATCTCCTAAGACAGTGGTGGCGAACCTATGGCACGGGTGCCAGAGGTGGCACTCAGAGCCCTCTCTGTGGGCACGCGTCGCCCCAGTCCTAAGCCTTCACCTGGGTTTTATAAAACCGTTTCACTTTAGGCCTATGCCGCCAGGTGCAAAAAAAAAAAAAAGGTTCAATCAATCAGTCAATTTCAACTTCTTGGGGAAAAAAAAGATCTTGCAAAGTTGGAATTGATAGAACTTTTTAATTCCACCCAGTCTACAGTTCCCACTGTAGCCACGCCCACCCAGTGGGCCACACCCACCCAATGGCCACATCCACCTGGCACCCGAAGATGCATAAGTGGGTTTTGGGTTGCAGTTTGGGCACTTGGTCTCTAAAAGGTTTGCCATCACTGTCCTAAGAACTAAATGCAGAGTCCATGTTCTGCTCCCCACTATATCGTTCTAACATCTTTGCAAAGTATAGTAGATTAGAGTGAGAGATGTTGGTTTTGTTACACAAAATCTAAATCATGGTTTTGTTGAGATTCACCAAAAAAATGGTTCATATCACACATCTTAACAATAGTAGTTTAGAAACCAGTGGGTTTACACAACACACTAAGCCTCCAACAACTGAATCATAGTTTGTCCTCAGGGTTTTGCTCATAACCAGTTGATATGAAGGCCTGGCTGCTGCTTTAGAGAAGCTATATGTGTGCACTTCGGGTGTTTTCATTACTCAGGTTGGGTTTGGCTTGAGTTAAGTCACGATTCATTGCAGAAACCCACAAAATGAATTAAGTAACCAGGTTAAATTGTTGTGAGAGCCCAGCCACTGGCTGCAACAAGTTGTGGATTTGGTCTCCACTCCAAATTCCATCCTCTCACTACTGCACCACACTGACTCTCCAAAGATATAATTTACTTAAAACATTTTTTTAAAATTTCTTTCACAAAGAAAACAAATACAGTTAAGTTTGGGTTTCAAAAAATTGCCCGAATGTAATCCGCCTGGCGTGACGCAGGTCTTTTAACCTTGCTTGCCAAACACAGCGTGGACCATCGCTTTCTCTGATTCGAGAGAAATGCGCTCCGCACAAGCTCAGAGGCACTCCCCCTTATTACCTCCGACGCAATGTGAAGCGCCGAGTGAACCGTCTGGAGTGGCGGTTCCCAACCGAGCTGAGATCTTCTCGAAGGACTCGCGGCTCTGCTCTCAAGGGTACTTATAGGAGGCGGAGAGCAGAGGCGACGTTCGAGTCTGATTTCCCCCTCCTCTCCTTTCCCCATTGACTTAGTGCTGCTGCCGCAGTCGCGTCTCCACGTGCCCTTGCCCGGGCTCCGGCGGGGACTGCAGCTGCAGGCAGACGCGGAGTCGGGGGCCGGGATTTTTGCCAGGGGGTGGCTCCAGGCTGGGCTAGCAGGCCGAGGCGGGGAGGGGGACGCAACGTGCGAAATCTCGACTGGAGGCGGCAGCCACAGATCAGGCGAGTCCGTCCCGTCTGTGCGTCCGCCTGCCTGCGCCATGGTGAGCTTGAGTTTTTGCGCGATTTTCCCGGGCAGAGGGGAACGCCGGTTGTTGGGGGGGGGGGCGGCGCGGGCGGAGGTAACACGGCTTGCTGGCGATCGCAAAGAGGTGTGGGCATTGTGATGCCTTGTTGTGGGGAGGGCAGATATGGGAAAGGAATTCCGCCTGGTCACCTTCAAGGACTGACACGAGCGCTGGACAAGAGCTATGAGACGTTGGTGCGGAATGGAGACGCGGGGCGGGTGTTCTAGGCTCGGCTGTTGTAAGAAACCATTAACTCCAGAGGGAATCGGAGGGAGTTATTATCTTGAGGCAATGTACCGCCGAAGGTTAATTAACTATGTTTAATCGTAAGTAAGGGCTAGTGCTGGAACTGGCTCAAGCGGATGTAGCGATTCTGCTCTTTCATCAAAATAATCAAAGAAATGGATTCCCCCCCCCTTTCCCCGCAGAGCATGCTTATATGAATGAAAAGATGAAGCCCGGACGGTCTTGTAGTTCTTAATAGGGAATTAGAAATTACCGTGGATTAATTAACATGGAATACAGAAGTATAATTTTGAGCTGGTTTGAAGCTTTTTCTTCACACTGATGATTAGCAAGCAATATCTCTTTGTGTTTCTGCATCTTTAATATCAGATGAAATCTGCTATAACCTATATTTATTAATTATTTGCCTGTTGCTTTTACATTCTGCCTCTACTTTGGAAGCTCAAGGTTCCATGCTTTAAGGTTTTTCTTAGTTTTATCTCCTCCAACAACAACCCTGTGAGGTAGATTGAGCTGAAAGATAATGACTGGCCTGAGACCATGGCAGTGAGCTCATGGATCTTGAGCTTGTTTCTCCCCCTTTAAACACCATGTTGTCTGATTTGATTTAATGCTGAGCTTTGCTTTGTTTTTCATTTGGCTTTGTGTTTTCCTCCCCTGTCCCTTAACAGCATCCTTAAGTTTATTGATTACACTCATGAAGAAAAATACTTTTCTGTTTTGGAAGAGTGGGGTAAATCAAGCATCTGAAAAGGTGGATTTTAGGAGAGAGATGATCTCACCACTGAATCTTGATCAGGCTATTCTTTTAATTGAACTAAAGTTGGGTGGTTTAATCAGAATAGTTTTAAGCCTTTCAGGATGTAGATAAAATTGTATGATCCAGGGGAAACTGAAGTCCTTTTGAAAAAAATTACAAGAAAATTGATCTGGAGGTAGAATTAGTGTTCATTCAGTATTTTTTAAAAAAGGATGAATAAATCTTTGGAAGTGACATAAATTATCTCAAATGAATACATTGGAAGCAAAACAGAAACATTTTTTCTTCCCTCTCTTTTGGTACTTTTTTATTACAGATCCCCACCAGCTGTTTTCCTAATTCTGGGAACTGAAGTGCATGGGTGAGATAATCTTGGGGGCCTAATAGTGATGGGAAAGAAAATATTTTGGGGAGAAAGAGCTAGAACACAGAAATGGCTGGTCGGAAATGGATCAAGTATGTCTTCACTCTGCTTTGTCTCCAATTTGTACTACCTTCACCCCAATATGCATAGACCAAGTTGCCTAACTCTTGAAGTTTTCTTTCACATGTTTGGTGGAGCATCTAGTTTGGTCCTATTAGCCAGATTCTTTTTGGTTAGCTAGGCACACTAAAAGCAAAGCTACCGATATTGTGACTTGTGTGATTAGGCTGTCCTCATAGACTCTTTACAGGACTGCACCTTGTTTCAATGCTTGAGGAGTCAAAAAAAACAAAATCATAACTTATGGCTGAGCATAAGTCTTGAAGGAAGGAAAGGCCAAGTTGCAACCAAGGTGAAAAGGAGCAGAGGACAACAAATAGAAAAAGCAATGTGTATACCTGAGGTTTGAGAATGCTATTTCAAGTCAGGAAAGACAACACTGAGTAAACTAATAAATAATCTGGGTTAACACATATTTAGCTAAAATGTTATTAGCTTGTCGCATAAACACAATCACTGGATTGTTATACCATGATATAGTGAAGCATGCCTGTTTTGCAAACCACAGGGACAGAGTTTATCCAGAATGCTAAGCCCAAACTAAACAAAATGTATTATGGCTTAGTATAATGCATGAATCCACTCTATATTTGGCCAGATATAAAAGAATTTCCAATAATTTTGTGCATATTTCGGCCATTATGGTGGCAACCCGAAGTATCTAAGAGATAGAATTTATTGTGAATATTTACTAAAGAAAAAGCACTACAATTTTTCAACAAGGGCAGTTTATAGATAATTTTTCAAGGTTTCTTTTTCACCATGGAAACCACTCCTGGGTATGTAAACATTTGCAGAAGTGTAATCATGATAACCAATGGTGCGTGAATACCCCAACAATATTTAAGTTTAAGTTGAGGCTTTCCAAAGATGAGTGAGCCAGAGATATATATGGAAATAAAGAGTAATTTAAAGAGAAAATAACATCCTGTTGCATTTATAACAAAGGAACTCTTCATTGGGGATATTCTTTTAATAAGAATATATTAATAATTAAAAATGAAAATGATTTTAGATTTATAAAATTTATTGCATTCTGCGAAACATTTACACAGCAAATTCATAATATCAGATACGATTGACCAGCAATACTTCTAGCATTCGTAAGAGTGGAAAAGAATTGTTTTTACCTGGGCATCTGGCTGACAACCTACAGTATTTTTTGAGTTCCAGGCCAATGGAGATAAGCAATTTAAATAATTTCTGTTTAGAACGACAGCCAGTATTTATGAGTAAGAAGAAAGTTGTTCCCAAAAGTCAGGCTAGGAAGCTAAATCAGCTCTAGTCTGATTTATAAAAAGAATAGTTTGCAACTTTTAAGTCAAATGAAAGATAAAAATTTTTTGGTAGTAATAAAAATAAAGAATAAGATGCTCGCTTGCTCTCTAGTGTCATTCTCTGGGCTTAAGATCTGATTGCTTTTAAGAACAAAGTGCAGATGTAAAATCCTGATCTGATTAAACCACACAGTTCTTAGAAAAGCTCATGGTTACTGTTCATATTTAAGAAGAAGTGAGCAAGAGATGATCTGAGAATTGAAGAATCATCGCGCTTTGAGCAGCTTTGCACCATCCAGGAAAGTTTACAATGCCTTGCCTCCATTGAAAATTGTTACTGTTTGAAATGGCATTAAGTTTGAGAAATGGGTGGACCTCTGAGAGAGTTGAGATCAAGAAGAATTTCTGATTTGCAGAAACAAAATTGACTCCCCGTACTTTAAACTACAGTGAACAAAGTTGGAAATAATCAGAAACACATTTTGTGTGTGTGTGGAAGGAAGCTAAACAGAATTCAGTTCTGTAATCAATTTGTGGACATGAAATTCTTCTTTTTAAGTACATGTGTTTTGGACCTGGGTCTTGGGTATTTTCTTTAAAAAAACAACAACCCCAAGTAAACTTTGCAAATTTGAAGTAATCTCTATGTTTCTTTAGCAAACCAGCAGTGCAATTTTTTAATGGTTATGTACATGATTTTTCATCAGTTCAAATGAACACACTGTGTGAAGTCATTGAGTGAGGAGGTAAAGTGGTGAAGGATAATATGCCTATCATTCAACCAAGTTCACTAGCAAGACATTCTAATTAAGAGGTTTTCTCTCAGCCTCTCCTGCTTATGTGTCATGGGAATAATAATTGAAAGGGTTAGTTGTGAAGGCTGTTGAGGTAATGTCTTTGAATATTCTGGGAACCACACTAAAGATGTACCCTCCCCCTTTTAATCTAGTAGTGTTTCCCGAAATTGGTTGCTGGTAATCCTTGATTTATGACCACAATTGGGAGAGCAACTCCCCTTGCTAAGCCAGGTGGTTGTTAAGTGAGCTGCACCTGCTTTTATGACCTTTTTTGCCTCAGTTGTTAAGCGAATCCCACTTTCCCCATTGACTTTGCTTTTGGGAGCTGCTTAGAAAGATCGCAAAGGCAATCATGTGACCCCCCCCAAGACTGTCATAAATATAGGCTGATTGTCTAGTGCCTGAATTTTGATCACATGACTGTGACAATGATGTGATAGTTTTAAGTACAGGGATTTGTCATAAGTTTCTTCAGCAGCATTGTAACTTTGAATGGTCAATAAACAAATGGTCATACGGTAAGAACTACCTGTATACAGAGACGAGTAATAGTCCAGTGGCAATTGGTAACTTTCATAGTTATGGGAAAGGTTACCCTGATGTCTTGAAATCATTATTAGAAAAGGACAAAGTTGACTCACCCTTCCATCCTCCCGAGGTCAGTAAAATGAGGACCCAGTTTGTTGAGGGCAATATGCTGACTCTGTAAACCGCTTAGAGAGGGTTGTAAAGCACTGTGAAGTGGTATATAAGTCTAAGTGCTATTGCTGTTGGGAACCGGTGACTATCCAGAAGTTATTGAACAGCATCCTTTAATATTTCAATAGATACATTTCAGTGACATTTGGAAGACCGCAAATGCCATACAATTGTTAAGTGCCAAATGGTTAGCTGTAGCTATGCCACTACCTTTTGCCAGTGTAAGAGACATTGCATTGTAATGTCTTAAGTTGTGTTGGATTATAAATTAGAGAACTAGTTTAAAAACACGTTGGTTTGCTTTGGAGCATTTTGTGGCTCTGCATAGCACACTGAGCTATATAAATACAAAGCAACCATAGTTTACCCTAGCAGATTGTGCAATGACAATCTGTGTGATTACTTTCCAGACAGGCATGTTATGGAAATCCGGTCCTTTGAATTGGTGAGCAAACCATGGATAAGTTCAGCATGGGTAAATACATTGTGCAAACTCAAGTGATTGTTTTTCTCTTAGATAAAACTGCCTCCCAGGATGGCCATCAAAGAATGTCTATATGGGGACTGAGGAGAATGTCTTTTTGTCTTTCATTTCAAACAATAAAATGTCTTTGAACAATCTCCAACAAGTAGGAATCAAGCTTGTAGGCTAAAGATTATGACTTCAAATCAGTCCTTGTGTTACAGGCATGTGTGGAGAAGCTAGTTTGACTTATATTAATAATCATACTGATAGAAATATATATGTCTGTGTGTGGCCATGATTCCAACATAATTATTCTAAAATAAGACAGTTGCTTTCGGCAAAAGGTTTTTTGTTTTTTTGTTTTTTTTAAATCAAGCATTTCATTTTGTATTTGGTAGCGGCCCAAAACTTTTCTCCAGGAAGGCAGGCAGGCTCTTGTGTCATTAAAAGTTAGTGCTATAATGACACTATCTTGCACTAATAAAAAGGATTTAAAAACAAAGTGCGGTATAGAGGGTTATTTCTCTGAGTAAGATCAGAGAAAGCCAAGTTCTCATCCACCATCCTCCGGGGTGGAAGTTCATTGGGCAACTTGGGGGTCAGAAACACTCTTAGCCCAAACTACCTCTTAGGGTTGCTATAAGGAAAAATGAATGCTGTCTGAGCTCTTGAAAGAAAGGCAGCATAGATATTCAATTAATCAATTAAATCTGTTTAATATGTACAGAAAATCACCTGTAGTCTTCCCCCTCCAAAACTTTCTCCAGGATATAAAAAGAAAACTCCTTTGAGCATGGCTTTCCGGTGAGATCTGCCATATGATATACGGCCTGCTACTGAGCATGCTTAGTCCTAATCTCTTCCCTCCCCCACCTCTACCCCCACCAACAATTTAATCCTGCACATCTTTGGGTTTCACAGAACTTTTCTCCTCCGCAGAGGTAGTATCTTTTGCCTGCCAAGATATTCACTTGGGGAATAACCACTGGTGAGAGTAGATGGAAATACAGAGCATCTGTTTCTCTGTGTGTGAGTGAACGGGGGGCTGAATATTGGCAGTAATGCTTAGGGAAGATTTGTCTGTGTTTCCATCAGCCACGCTTCTCATGGATCTGTCTGCCTTGCACACCCTCCAGGACCCAGAGCCAAGAAGGGGCCTCCCCACTCTTCCTGCCAGTGTCTGGGTCTGAAGGGGAGGGGAATTGCCTCTTCCTGTCAAGGATATAAAACTCAAGCTTGGCTGACTGCAAGTCTCTGTTTTCCTTCCCCTTTGCCAGAAAGTGGCAAAAGAGAGAAGTTTGTGTGTGCCTTGGTCTGGGGTGGTGGAATTTGGGACCTTTGTGCCCTCCATCTTTTTACAGAATAGTTTGGCTTTCAACTCAAGTTTCAGTTAGGGGAAGGAGAATCCCAGAAAAGCAACCAGGTTCTTGACTTTGAACTTCCTTGTGGGAAGAGGATCACTTGCCTGCACACATGTGGGGGGGAGGGGGAGGGCTCTTAGGGAAAGAGCTTCCTTTCTCCCCTCCCTCCCATGGCAGAACACCTGTTTTGCATATAAAAAACGCTGGAGTATTGCCTTGCCTTCCAGTTAAACATTCTGAAATGGCAGAAGGTTCCTCAAGAGCAGTGGTTCTCAACCTTCCTAATGCTGCGACCCTTTAATATAGTTCCTCATGTTGTGGTGACCCCCAACCCCCCATCCAGCTGGCCAGGGAGGGGGGCAGAAAGGCGGCTCTGCGCCCAGGCAGGGAGGGAGAGGGAGGAAGGGAGAGAGAGAGAGAGAGAGAGAGAGCGCCAAGAGGGCGACAGCGCCGGCAGAGCTTAGTTCAGCCTCCTCCACAGAAAGGGCTGCGAAGCAGCGCAGCCTCCCTTAGGACAGGGGTAGTCAACCCAAAACACTCAAAGAGCCACTTGGGAGCTGCAAAACCCTTTTGATATCTAAAATGAAGATAACACTGCATATATCCTTTTTTACGTTTAATGTATGTATGTATGTATGCATACATGTATGTATGTATCTGTGTTTGTGTGTATATATAAAATAAAGGTAAACAAAGATCTATGCAATGTTATCTTCATTTTAGATATCAAAACGGTCTCTCTTTCCTCTTTCCCCTGGCCCAACCGCCGCCCCCACCGGGACTCCACCGCATCCTCTGCCGAACGGGGAGGGGGAGCAGGACGGGAGGCAGTGGCTCTGATAGCGGCGGCACGGGTGCATCGTGAGGGGTCCTCGCTGCCCCTGGCCCAACCGCCGCCCCCGCCGGGACTCCACGCTGCCCGCCCTCGCTCTCCGCCCGTCGATGTAGAAGGAGAGGAGGAGGGCAAAGAAACTGCCGCCGCCGCCCCAGCTGGGACTCCGCACTGCCCGGCCTCGCTCTCTGCCCATCTGATGGAGCCACGGTGGGGGCTGGTTCTGCGCGGCCCCTGCCAGCCCCTCCACCAGCCCGGTTGCTCCCCTCAGGTACCCCTCTTGCCCCAGCGCCCGCCGAGCCTCCCCGGGGCACCAGGAGGGAGAAGAAGAGGAGGGTCAGGAAGCAGCCGCCAGGACCGCATTGCCCACCCTCGCTCTCCGCCCATCCGATGGAGCTGCGGTGGGGACTGGTGCCGTGCGGCCCCTGCCAGCCTCTCCGCCAGCCCAGCTGCTCCCCCCCAGGCATCCCTCTTGTCCCAGCGCCCGCCCGAGCCACCTGTGGGGCAGCAGGAGGAAGAAGGGGAGGAGGAAGAGGAGGGCAAGGAGATAGAGGAGCAGTGTCTTGGTTCCTAAGACTATCGGAAATATGTGTTTTCCAATGGTCTTAGGTGACCCCCAAAGGGGTCGCGGCCCACAGGTTGAGAACCGCTGCTCAAGAGCTTTCTATATCAAGAACTGAGCTGTCGGATTGGGAACAGCAATTCAGAGTTGACAAAATACATCTAGTCCTTGACTTACAACCATTTGTTTAGCCATTGTTTGAAGTTACAGGGGCGTTGGAAAAAGTGAATTTGATGGTCCTTGCTCTTAACAACTCTCGCAGCATCCCCACAGACACATGATCAAAATTTGGGAGCTTGGCAACTAGCATGTATTTATGAAGATTGCAGCATCCCTGGGTCACTTGTGATTGCCATTTGCAACCTTTTCAGATGACTCAATGGCCGCATGATTCATTTAACTGGTCCCAGTTGTGGTTGTAAGTTGGGACTACCTGTACTGTGCAAATTCTCAGATTCTTCATCTTGTAGCTGATGTTTAAGCCATGTCAAAAATAATTATTCTCAGACTCCATTAAATACCTTCATGTGCAGACATGGCTTAATGTTGGCCATATTGTTACCTCCAATATTTTTTAATCACTCTTCCCGATGAAAAAGTTCTTGGAAACTTGAAAGCTTGCTCATGATTTGTGAACCTTGAGTTGGCTCTGGCATACTAGTTTGTACAGATTCAACTGGTTTAATGATAAAATTTTGCTTTATTACAATTTTTTTCCCCTTATGGTCAACACAACAGCATTTGTTTCAGGAATATTACTGGGCTTTCCAGATATCTGAATTATTGGCTTCAATCCACTAAATGATATTTTTACTTCTGTATATCCCTGATATATGGCATATCCCTGCCTGTAACTTCTGTAAGCAGAAGTTAAGCAGCCTCTATTTATCTCTGATAGATAAAAGGACATCCAGACTGAATTTTAGTTCAACCTTTCTTATTCTGGAAAGTGCTGGTATTAAAGTATACCAGTCTCCCATACAAGGCTGGACACTAGCATTTTGCAGCCTAAGATATAAGAATAATGATGTTTCCTTCCTTCAACAAATAGGGTGCTTAGTTACTCAAGAGTGGTTGTGTTATTTCCAAAAACATGGCAAAATAATAACAAGTGTTTCCTTCTCCCCCAAAACAATATGTAACAAAAATATTTATATTAGTTTATTTTTTTTAAAAAAAATCAAATCAGTTGCTTGAAGTTGCTCTTACTATTTCCTAATGGCGAAACTGGTTTTACTATTAGAATAAACCGGTCCTTTTAATTTTTTTGTAAATTTTTAAAAGCCTTGCTGAAGGATATTAGGTAAAGTGTTGAAATAATGGATATAAAGAAAGGACTGCTGTTACAAAATGACCCTAAATGTCCCCTTCTATTCACCATCATGCAGTTTTACCAGATAGCAGTAAAAGGTACAAAGTAAGTCAAAATTAACACTTGTTTTGCTTCCTTCTCTCAAAGGAGGGTTTAGAAATATAATTGCTACAAAAGGCAACCATGCATTTTCATGCCCTTAGTTCAACAAGATTTCCTTTGTCTAATGGCCACATCAAGCTCCAGTCTAACTCTGCAGCTTTTGGAATGCTCACAAACAAAAAAGTAATCAGGAAAGATTTAATAAAGTTATTTAATCTGGATTCAGAGAGGAAGCAAGGATGCACAATTCTTGTCATTTCCTCACAGTGTCTTCCAGCATAAGATTTGAATCCAGGGTATGCCTGTGGGGAAAAAAAAAGATTGTGTCTCTTTGGTAGGTACTCCGGAAGGTTTAAGGCACAATGCTGTTTCTCTTGCTATTGCACCCTCCTTCTTTTACAGTCTCTCTCTCTGTCTCTCTCTCTCCTCCCCCCAATTTCCTTTGCTGGGTGGAGCTGCGGAAGGAGTGAGCTCACAGCTGCTAATGTATTCCAGATGGAACCTCCGCTCTCCATACTCCTTGGCGCTTTCCCAAACCCTTTCATTCTTGCTGCCCCCTCATGCCCTCTGCTCTTTTTACACACTGCTGGTCTCTGTGCACATTGCCCTGAGCAATTTCCTGGCTGGCCCTTTTTCCTTTTGACACATCACTAGGGGGCAGTGGTCTTCCTCCAGGCATAAAATGTGACCAGTTGCTCATTGCTGCAGGTAACCATAACAACCTGGCTCTTCCCTTTAATTGGCTGAACAAGGCAATGAAAGGACATCAAATAGAAAAGGTTGAAGGCAAGAGTCTTAGTCCTAGGGCAGCATCACGAGGTATGAGTTATGCAGAAACCACAAAACTGCGAGGGGCATTCATTGCACTTGGGCAAGGAGGGAACAGTTGCAATTCTAGGTTAAGGAACTAGCATTTTTGTTTCATTGCATAGTTTCAAGGGGATTGGATGGGCTGGTGAAAGGCTCTTGGAGGCTCACGCCCTCCCCATGCATATTCTTTGTTTTTGCAGGAACCTGAGCCTGTGGAAGAATGTGTCCAGAGCACACTGGCTGCCTTGTACCCTCCTTTCGAAGCCACGGCCCCCACTCTTCTGAGCCAGGTCTTCGAAGTGCTGGAACGGACGTACCAACACGATGCACTGCGCTACACCCTTGACTTCCTTGTTCCTGCCAAGCACATCTTGGCTCGCATCCAGAGTGAAGCCTGTGTGAGCTCCTGCTTCGGTTTGGCTCTCTGTTTGTCTGGAGTACTTCTGAACAGGAAATCTAGCTTGGCAGTGTTGGGCAATAGAGAAATAATCCGTGCTGGTGCCATAGTGGCTCTCTGTGTGGGAGTCAGCTAGAATATCAGTGGCCCTCCAAAGAGTGTTGAATTCCATCCCCCATCAAGTCCCATAAATGTTATCCATTGCCTGGAGGGCCATAGCTTTTCTAATCTAAATTGAAGTGTAGGAATTTTTTCTTTAGTTCCTGGGTATTTTTAAAATTTTAATTCTATAGGTACTCTTCGGCTTATGACCACAGTTGAGCCCAGAATTTTGCTTGTAACTTGTCATAAATTGAGTCACCACAAAGGCCTAGACTTGATTTTATGATCATTTTTATGATGGTCAGTAAGAGAATCACCACGGTTGTTAAATGAATCGTGGTTGTAACTACAAATCCAGATTATCCAATGGGTGTTTTTTTGCTGGAAAACAGAAAAATAAAATAAAATAAAATTGGGAAATATGATCATGTGCTGTAACTGGTTGTAAATGTGAGCCGGTTGCCAAGTGCAATCATAAGACCAGGGGTGGTGTGGCAATCACAATCTTGAAGACAGTTGTGAGTAACTTTTTTTGAATTTGTCATAGCTTGCTAAATGACTGGTAGTAATTCAAAGACTACCTGTATCATGTTCCCACATTTTCTTATAGTAGTAATGCCTTCATAAGTAAACTTATATGGCAAGCAAGTATTAGCAAAGTGAATTTCAGGTGGGATATATAGATGTTAGCGGTCTTTGGTTGGAGAGTCTTAATGTTGTGTAAACTAGATCCCCCTTTTTCCCCTTACTCTTCTCTTACTTGGCAATTTTAGTTTTTGTGCAGAATTCTAATCAGGTTCTTCATCATGGTGAAATACCAGAACTGAGCTAAGCTAGGAGATGCTTGTTGTTTCTGGATGATGGGAATGATATACTACCCATTAATGCAATATTTGTATTGTATACAGGTAGTCCTTGACTTACAACCACAATTGAGCCCAAAATTTCTGTTGCTAAGTTAAGAAATTTGTTAAGTGAGTTTTGCCCCATTTTACAACTTCTCTTGCCACATTTGTTGATTACTGCAATTGTCAAATTGGTAACACCGTTGTCAAGTGAATCTGGCTTCCCCATTGACTTTGCTTATCAGAAGGTCACAAAAGCTGATCACGTGAACCTAGGACACTGCAATCGTCATAAATATGAATCAGCTGTCAACCATCCAAATGTAAATCACGTAACCGTGGGGATGCTGCAACAGTCATAAGTGTAAAAAATGGTTATAAGTCACTTTTTTGGTGCTGTTGTAACTTACAAACGGTCATTAAATGAACTGTTATAAATCGAAGACTGCTCTTATATAAATTCCAGAACTTTGTATTTCTTAATATAACTATCTGAATTCCCTTTCTCCTCTTCTCTCTTTCCCTCTTCCTCAGGCTCAGTATAGTGGCTTTGTCTTTTGTCATGAAGGTTGGCCCCTGTGCCTTCATGAAAAAGTCCTTGTCCAGCTGGGCTCCTTGCCGTGGCAACGCCTGTGTCCCGGGGATTTCTACTTGCAAGTGGTACCTCACCGTGAATGTGCTCCCCGCCTAGTCCTGAAATGCCTCTCGCTGGAGAGCCGAGGAGTGCAGGAGTTGCCTGTGTCTCCAGACTCCTATCGATTCCTGTTCACCATTGAATGGCTCAATGGCATCAACAAAGAACGTCGGGTAGGGCGTCTGGAACGCTGCTTGCTGGCAGCTGGAGAAAAAGTGCTGAGCTTGCCCTGGACTGAGCTTGTGTATCCTCAGTTTGTGCACAAAGATGGATTTATTGTGGGGCAGCATTGCCCTACGGATTTGACTCCCGAGGTCCTGGGAGCAAGGAGTCCGGGTGACGGACGTCATTCTGGTGGAGAGAACCGGGAATCTGAGGGGGAGTACGTTCACCTCTTAGAGGTCAGCCCCACCTTGCATCAACCACCCAGAATCCCACAACCTTGCAGTGCCCAGATTCAGACAATGCCTGCTCGCAAGGGACATAGCAAAAATAGGAGTCGGCGCCACAGGGCCTGGCTCCATCATAAGTCAGGCTGTGGGGAGAACTTTGCTTTGCGACAGGCTTGCAAAACTGAGGAGGCAGAGAAGTCTAGTCAAGAGAAGGGAGTCCAAGATGAGAAGGTAGCTCAGCTGAGACCAAACCCTAGCCCAGCTTTGGGCCCAGCCTTAGACACTCCTGGAGTAGTTGGGAACTTGAATCCTAAACAACTGGAGGAAAACCTAGATCCTATTGAAACAAAACCACCACCCATTTTGAGTGGTAGTGATGATGTTGTTGAAGACACAGTTCTGGGGAAAGAAGACTTGCTTGACTCCATTCACCGAGATCCAACTCCTCCTAAGGAGGACAGCAAGGAAAGCCATTCTCCAGCTTTAGCAACTCCAAAACGTACCACCAAGGGAAACCGGAGAAAAAAGAAAGGTGCTGGGAGAGGAGCTGATGGTTGGATTAAACAGGGGACAGATTCTGTGAACCAAGAAACAGGAAGTTCTGATCTTAAAATGGGTGCTGAAAAGGAGGAGGCCTGCACTGGTCCAGGAGAACAGAATTTTGGGACCGGAAGCGTTCATGTTAGTACCAGACAGCCAGGCAGCATCAATGTTTCATGTGTTGATACCACAGATTGCGATGACACCCAAGATAAAGGTATAATCAAAAGAAACCAAAGCCTTGAAACTGGAGGGGAGGAAGCCAACAATAAGGACCTGGTTGTCAGCACTGGAGACTGTACTGCAGGTGCTACAGAGCCAGAAGACAGCACAGGAAAATGTAGCATTGGTGACAATGAAGGCAGCTCTGGAGAAGGAAGCATGGAAGGCCCAAAACTTAACACTGAAGAGCCAAATGCTAAACCCAAGACTAGTGAACCAAGAACTGGTACTGAGGAGGTGGGTGTCCAAGAAAAAGAAGTGGACAGTTCTGAAGACCAATGTATGGTGGAACAGGGTCTTGACATCAAAGAACCAGTACTTACTGACTTGCCAAGGAAGAGTGAACTAGCAAGTGTTGATGGGAGAGAAGAAGCCGTGTGCATAGCAGCTGATCAGGGTCCTAGGGAAATACAAAATTCCCTTTTACCCAAGATGGCTCGTCTTGGGGAATCTGTAAACTGGAATCTTCTTCTATCAGGAGTTTTTGCTTTGACAGGTAAGTCATCACTTTTTGGCTGAGATAATCATCTGGAAATGTTGAATTTGATTTGTTTTTCCCTTCTAATAAATCTTCAAAAAGAAGTAGTAGAAAATTTAATCTCTAATGTGGCATTCCCCAATCTGGATGCTTCAATTTTTGGACACATTTTCTCAAAAATCCTCACCTCTGGGACCAATAGCCATGTGATTGGGTATTCTGAGAATTCTAATACATCTGGAGAGCTCCAGATTGACAAATGCTTTGCTAGTGCTTTGATGGTTATGCACAACAGTATGGCCGCATAGAGTCAGAATAAATTATGATGGAACCTGAAGCTTGTTTATCAGTCTCCCTTGGCATGATGCCATTCAGATGTACAGAACTGCACTTAACATTCATCAAACCAACATTGTACTTGACAAAGTTGGGGATGACAGGACTTGTATTTCACACAACCAAATTGGTGACTATTGCAGGGGGTTCCACTAGCAGCATCAGTAAGGGGGTCCAAAGCAGCAAGATGACAGACAAAGCATTGTTTTGCAAGCCCTGATCTCTCACGCAAGTTCAGATGTGTGGGGCTTGCACCATGACACTTTTTGTCTGCTCTCTTATGACTTTCACATCTCTCAATTCCACAAATTAGCTAGTTATCTAGCCAATTTGCCTAAAGCTAGTTAACTTTAGGCAAATCAGTAGAGTGTACAGTGCTTTGTATCAGAGGATAGAGTATTAATGCCTCTTCCTAAGAAGTATCCACACTTTTAAAATTATATTTTGTCCCCTTTGGATATTATGTATTTCAAAATACTAAAGTTGGAGCAGATTTTGTCCCCAATATGCTTATTTTCTTTGATTTTACAAGGTAAAGCAGCCCTCTCTTGTCTGGCCTTCTGCTCCATTACGTAGGCTTGAACTAGATGTCATAATTAAGAAACATTAACCAACTGTGGTGAAGTTAATTGGAGATAATGGGTGAAGACAATGCAGAAATAGATTTTGGATGCCATTACTGATAGATGGTCTGATTTTGGGGGGCACAAAGTGGCATTGCAAGAAATATTTCTTGCTGATATTAATGCAGGCTGATGTGTAAATGCATTATTCAGCTCTAGTTTCCATAGTAGAGTTGGTGCAGGATGACACTCCAATGGATTCTGCCTCACAACATCATGGGGATGTTGTGAGCTGTTGCTCCAAATAGCATGATCGGAAGTGAAGGATACTGGGAGTTATAATTCAGGGGCAACATAGAGAGGGTAACTACTTCTGTAATGGTGCAATTAACCATTTGTATTTTCCATTGTGAGCAGTAAAATAACTTGGGGCAATCTGGGCTGCAATTCCAGCAACCTGATTTAAGGAGAAAGTACTAGAGGACATACAAAAAAACATAAAGATAAAGAAACTTTATGAATTGTGTGCTTAGCTCAACAAGCATGGCTTCAAATTGCAGCCTAAAACTTTCCTGTAAGTCTCTACAGGCTCTTCCAACAAACTTGTCCTTTAACCAACATTTTTGCCATCTTACTAAACATCACGAGGACTAAATGAGGCAAGCCTCTGTGCTCGCCACATCACAACAATCTGTAGAAACCACTCTCTTGCCTCAAGCCACCAAATACAGCCCAGAATGACACCAGCGCCTGATCATGTTTCTGAAGGCCTCTGGCTTTCAGACTAGGAGGCAGGCCTCCCTGAAGAGGTATTACATGGAAAGTGTAAACAAAGAGACATTTGGAAAGAAAAATAAGAAAATATAAGAAAACTTGAAAAGGAAGCACTAGGTTGGTGAATCTATTTCCAAAAGAATAAGCTAATGTCACCTATTAGAATCCTTCAGTTTTATGAACATTGCCCCTAAAGCCTGTATATACATTGTAGTCCTCACTTAACAACACTAATTACGATCGGATTTTCCATCAGTAAGTGACACAATCGTAAAGTGTGACATTACATGTCCATGCTGCTTCGCAGTGCAAATTCTGGCACTTTTGGTTGCCATTATTAAGCAAATCACTGGGTTATTAACCAGTGATGTCATATGGTTGCTTTTTGTGAATTCCTACTGGCATCCCCATTGACCTTGCTTATAATAAGTTGGTAATATTGCAGTACTGATCATGTGACCATGGGGACACTGCAACTGGCATAAATATGAGAATTGGTTATATTTTGGTCATTCAACACTCATATGAGTTCAAATATGGTTGTTAAATGAAGACCATCTATAATAACATCCAGTATGATGTCGCTAGAAAATCCACAAGTAGAGATGAACAGATAATGATTCCTGTTATTGCCTCCAGGATCAGAGAGACAGTGCTTTTTAAAGAAGGAGATCTGATAACCATTATTTTCTGCAGAATTTTCTAGTTCTTTTCATCCTCTCCATTTTGATCTGGGAGATGCTGTAGGAATACTAAAAACAGCCCAGTTGGGACAAACCAATGCTTGATTAGGTTCAGTGTTCTATTGCCAGTGTTCCAGTCATTTGGATGCCTCATTAACAAGTAGAATGGTTTGCCTTCAGATGCTGAGGGTGCTCCATCACTGGAGGCTTTTAAGAAGAGACTTGGCAATTAGTTGTCTGGAAAGGTATAGAGCAAGGGTCCCCAGCCCTGGTCTATGGACTGGTAGCAGTCCACAGCATGCCAGTAACTGGGCCACACAAACAAGAGAAGCTCCATCTGTGGGATGCAGGCAGCATGCAAAAGCATGCCTCCTCCGGTCCATGGAAAAACTTTTCTCCATGCAATTGGTCCCTGGTGCCCAAAATGTTGGGGACCACTGGTATAGTAGGGTTTACTTTTTGAGCAGGCAGTTGGACTAGCAGATCTCCAGGGTACCTTCCAATTCTATTTTCTGTTTTTAAGGTCCGGCTTGGGTAACCATTTATGCACCAATACAAAAGAGGAACTATTTAGTGCTTGCATAGATAGATATATATAAAGATGTATAGATCCATACATCTATAGATGTATAGATTTAGAACAGATTATAGTTTATATAGATATACCACACTTTACCATACTTCAATATAGACATTAGGTGATCTATTTCTTATGCTTAGAAACCAACAGTTGATACTAGCCAAGCATCAGTCTCTTAGCATGCTTTTTCATACAGATCCCTTTCTGATAGAGCAACCTTTTGGTGTCTTCCAGATGTATTTGGGCTGCCTCCCCTAGAATGTCCATTGCAATTGCAGGACACCTGTTTGGAAATGGTTAAATTAGATAATAGTGATGATTAGATAAATGGAAGATCTAAATTAGAAGTTATAGTTAGCAGTAATCCTCAGAATCTGCTATTCAAAAGAACATCACATAATAGAAATCACATTTAGTTACCAATGAATATAACCCCTGATTGACCTGTTTTCAATAATACCTTGTAAGAACCTTCTAAATTGGAGAGGGAAATGCCATTTCCTTTCAACTGAAGTGTTTGAGACATTTGGGATTAGATCCAAAGGTTGACTTCCTTTGACAAAAGGATATTTTCTATCAGTGGAAGACTCTTTCCATTGGAGGAAGGAACCTTTGGATATAATTCTTGGATTCCCCTATGAATGTATTTCTGTTTTTGCTCCTGTGAAATACTGCAGTCATTTGAAAAGAGTTGATGCATGCTGTTTATGTAGTTTACAAGCAAATAACCTGTTACCTTTCAGTTGTTTTAGAGTTTAGTTCCCATTTGTCATAACCTATATGTTCAGTTGCAAAAGGATTGTGGGTAGTTGCTTCTTCCAGCATAGAGTAATTTCAGCCAAACCGAAGGAAAAGGGATAGCATGGAACTTTAGTGGCACTTGGAACTATTGAGGTGTATTAAAACTGTACAATTCATTATACAAGCAGAAGAGAGTTATCCTACTCCTCCATAATTCACAGCTCTGATAATTAAATTAGAAATGACATCTGTGTACATATCTCAAAGGTGCTTTTTCAAAAGGCAACTGGACTGGTTTTTTTCCCTTCAGGAAGACATTTCATTTGTCATCCAGAACTGAAGTTTCTTCAGTTCTGACTGAAAGGTGGAGAATGGATTTATATTTCTTGCAGTCATCTGGTCATTAGCACTTTTTCTGATAGTCTTTGAGGCCACTTGGAGGTTTATCTGTGCCCCAAGTGATCTCAGTGACTCAGAAAAAGTGCTAACAACCAGATGACTACAAGGAATATAAATTCTTCCATTCTCCAACATTCAGTCAGAACTAAAGAAGCTTCTTGGATGAGAAGTGAAACATCTTCCTCAAGGGGAAAAAAATAGCCCAGTTGCCTTTTGAAAAAGCACCTTTGAGACCTAGATGACTGAGAATCTCCACAGACATCTGTGTACATAATCTAGAGATAATTGTATTCAGTTGCAGATGTGCTGATTTGCTTGCAAGCCTGAAATTGTACAAAGTTTAGGCTTAGGTAGTGCCAAAGCACATATACCTGTAAATGTGAAGTTTTTTCACAGTGTAGATATCTATCGTTGTCATCAGAAACCCAACCTGTGGGGAGGGTAGTGAATTTTTCTGCTACTTATTCCTAAGTTTTAGATTGATTTCAAACTCACAATATACTTCTGAATGCCAAATTAACCCATAAAATCATGAACCATGAAACATGCTAGGCTGCTTAGCTATGAGACTTTGTCCAGATTAACATTAATTAAACTTTTTAAAAGATAAAGATGCCCTGAGTTAAGGTTGATGTGTGGTGACTACATGAACACACGTCAGTTTCCTTGCCAATACTATAGAAATGTTTTTGCTTTCTTTCTGCATGTTTCCTACTTCCGTGTCTTATCTACAAGCCTGCATTTCCCACCCATATATTAAGATATGTAAAGTGCATCTGCTAGGTTTTTATGTAACCTGGTTAAGAGTTCATACATCATCATAAGTAGCTGAACTGAGGATTTATTACATTTATCTAATTGGTTTCTATTGAGATGTGGTCTATATGTCAACAGAAGGTGAAGCTTATGTCAACTGTGGTGGAATGTCCTTTCCTATCTTTCTTGCAATGAAGAAAAAAATGGCTGTTGTTAAATCAATGCTTTTAGAAAGTTTATGAGATTAAACCAAGGACACATGTAGATCTGAAGGGAGAGGGAAAAAAGAAGAAGAAATTAAATGTCCTGTCAACAACCTTAATTTTAATCAAATGATCATGATGTGACTCCCTTGCAATCCAATTACAAATGACAAGAATAGCATATAAACAACACTTGCAAGGAATGTTGCCAGATAACCGCTCTTTCCTTTCTTAATCCTACACAAACACGTCTATAAAGAGATTTGTTTTTTAGTCATTGAATCTGCTGACTTGGAATAATGGAAGCTAATCCATCATAATGGGAAAACACCATTTGGGATAAAACAGCAATCTTATGGAAGTTAATGGGAAGATGACCCCCCCATCTTATCCTACACCCCGTAACCTATTGTCCCACAAAAATTTGGAAACAAAACTTTAATCTATATTGTTGTGCTAATTTAGCATAAAATGAGATTCTGATTCAGGGTATTTCTTCTTCCAGCAAGTCCCCTTATCCCCGATTGTTCAGGGGAGCCTGTTCCTCAACTTCTCCTGAAACCTTTGGGATTCACAATTGGCTACAGGTGGAAGGAGAAAATGGGGAAATTTTTCTCTGTAAATGACTTTATGTTAACTTCTCCCAAACTCCAAATTTATGTGTTTTATATTTGCTGCAACATGATACGTTGTAGGGAATGGAATACTGGATCTGTGGGGGAATGTTACAGTTTTTTTCCAGCAACATACCAATTGGAAGATGAAGCAGTTGTTGTTTTTTTTTAATGGAGAAAATGAGCTCAGATGTTCTTCCTGTAGAACACACACACACCACACACACACACACACACACACACACACACACACACACACGCAGATACAATCTATTTTGGTCTGATAGGTTGCTGTAACTTATGAACACCAGTGGTCTGTCCTCAGATCTGTCTTCCACATCTGCTTTGTATCTACGTAAATAAAAGTTCAAACCTCTTTTTCTTTTTGAAAGTAATTGCATTTCAGCTTTCCATATGCTTATAAAATATTGGTAGTATTGACTTTGTAAGGAGACCAGGGGTTTATATTGGTCACATAATATATGATTAATACATACTCTTGAGACAGACTTATAGTAGCCATGAGGCTGGGAATTATAGTCCAATAATGTCAGAATATCATGGGTTATTCACACTGCCCATATTCCACACCACAGACCTTGAAGTCGCTTGATTTCTATTTTTCTAGGCAAGGCAGGGGAAAATAAATGAAGGGAAATGTTAATTTATGAAAATTATAAATTGCTCAAGTGGATTTTTTTTTACTTTGGAGAGTTCAACCATGTTATTAATAAAATATGATAGATAATGCATTACACTTTTTATAAGGCGGTGACCCAAGTCATATAAAACAAACACCCACGTTGTGCTGTTCCATTTGGTGTGCAATTCTGTTTGTGGTTTGCAGCAATCTGATGAAATTGCAGATGCACCCAGCAAAGACGTTTCTGGAGAATTAGGAAAACTTCTACAAATGGTATAAATCTTTTTTTTTTTTATTAAAGAGTTTTATAAATTTTACAGAAAATAAGAGACAATACAAAAGCAAAAAACAACATATACAAATAAAAAACAAACATTACCCAACAAAACCCCCCTTCCCCCACCCCTACCCAACCCCCCCTTCCCCCCCCCAGGGCCTCCCAGAGCAGAATATAGGCTTAATTAAAAAAAAGTTAAAAAAATTTATATTTATAAAAAAAAGAATATAAAATAGAATATATATATATATATATATATATATAAAGTTAAAAATTATGAAAAAACTATATAGTATTTTTTATATCAAATTTAAATTGTATGAATTTTATCCATTTATCCCAAACAGCAAGAAATTTCTCTTGCGTTTGTCCCTTTAAGAAAGCCGAAATCTTTGCCATTTCCGCCAAATGAGACACTTTAAGAAACCATTCCTGCAATGTAGGCAAAGATTCCTTCTTCCAATATTGTCCTACACAAATGGTATAAATCTTATAAAGCATTAGAGATCATAATTCACCAAGTGTGTTTGGTAGAAATATGGTTCTGTCCAAGCACCCTTTTGTTGTAAATTCTGAATGTTGGACTGGTTATGTGAATGGCTGCTGAATTCAGACCATTTTGGCCCCATCTATGAGGTTTGGTAGCTGAGAAGCCAGCTCAAGTTTTGTATTTATTGGAGTATATGCCAGAAGCATTGCAAAGTAGAATAAAGTTATATTTTCCTTCTGTTTCTCTCCACACCAGGAGGAATAGACAAGACTGGCCATTCCTTGCTGACCATAGTGCCCCAGCCTCTTCAGGATGAGTTGCCTCCAGGACAAGAGGATCTGGTTAATACCTTAAGATATATGCACTCACTTCTCAGGTAATCTATTATTTAGACAAAATGAGATAACAGCTTCAAGGAACAATTGCTGGGATGCTGCTGTCAGTCTTCATCAGAACTGCTCCTCCTGAGTCGTTGTGAAGGTGGCTATATTGCAGTCTAGCTTCATTACCTTCTCTTGTCATCATTACCTATGTCAACATTTAGAGACAAAAGTAGTTCAAACCACATATCACTGACAAGATCTCACAATATACTTTGATCTGCTTCTGTTATGTTCTAGCATTTGCCATGCCAGAGGTAATAGCGTGGTAAATTATCAATGCTCAGATATATAAAATAAGAGGATGCTGCCGTATGTACCTAGTTGCTTGTCTTAAGGCTTTTAACTCTAACTAAGAGATATAAGTAGCTCTCTGTTTTGTCAGAATGCTTTTTGTCCCTTGTCTTAGGCAGCAAAGTTGACTAGTTTATTAAAAAAAGTACCTCGCCAAAGTCCAGCTAAAAATCCGCTAGGTCAGCCTAACTGATTCAGTAGTTGTACTGTATATCAGAATGCCTTCAGATGAAGCAGTCAAGGCTCCCTTCCAAAAGACTCAAGTAATTCATTGAGGCAGGTGAAGAATTCAGGAAATTCTTCTCATAAAATCAGAACTGTCAGGAAGCTGCCATGGGAAGCCATTAAAAATCCAATTAGCTTAAAAGCATTTAGATTCCAAAGGATGGTTGTTTTGACCCCAAATACTAAAAATGCCTTTGAGTTTTTTTGTTCGGAAGAGGATTTTCATAAGCTAGTAGAATATAGCAGTTATGGAAATGGACTAAATCTCCCTCTGCATAGGTTGCGCCACTATTTTTAATTAATTAAATTAAACTGGAGTTTTAATTTTGTGTTTTTATTATGTATTTCTTAGCAGATAATAGTAGGTAGTCATATACATTTTTCAAATAAACAGAATTATTACTATCCACTACAGTTATAGTAATACTTAAGATTATATAGTCAATACTCAATAATATTCAAGATTATTGTACATTTTAGGGAGTACACTGGCTACCATATTTGTTATTGGATTGAAAATTCTGATTCGATAGGATTTACCCCATATTTGTTAAATTTATTATCACCCTTATTATAATTCTATATCCAATTGTTGATTTTGCACTTTGTAATAGGTTTGATAATTATATACACTCTTATTTAATAACTACCTCAGTGGCCATTTACAAATACAGTGGTAATAAGTGGTAATAAAAATACATTTTCTGATCAGTGTATGCATTTATGATCAAATTTTAGGCACCTGGTATAAAACATTACCGAGTGAGAATAATGCTACCATAGCTGTATAAGATAATTATGCCTGAATAAGAGGGCAGCAAGCAGTGATCTTCACAGTATCTCTCTTTCAATCTCTCTCTCTCTCTCTCTCTCTCTCTCTTAGCAGCTTGGCAGCCAATTTTTTTGATGACCTGATAGTTGGAATGGTTCTTGGTTGCTAAATGAGGCATGGGTATACAAATTGTGCTCTATTTATCAGTATTAAAACATGAAGCAACATTAAGAAATGTGTGGATCTTTCTAGAATGATACAGTTAGGTTCAAATGTGGAATTGTTATGAGGCTAACACAAAGAAACCATTCTGCCCAATTTTCCTATGATTTGGCCACTTTGATGAGTGTATGTTAAGCTAAGCTGGCAAACCTGATGCTGAAAAGTAGGTAACTCTACATGTCTTGCTTTTTTCACCTATGTTCCAGGCAAGAGCTAAAGATTCTTGGGCTGACAGTGCTATTGGACCTAAGCCATGTGGATGACTGGGCCTTCCAGGCCCCCGTATTGCTGCCAGCTTTAAGAGCATTCCAGGTATCACCCTGACTCAGTTGCCTTTCCCTTCTCCCTTTAGTTCTAATTGGGGATGATGGGAGATGCAGCCAGGTGCATATGAAGGACACTGAAGGGGGGAAAGTGAACCTGAAGTTTTTTTCCTTGGCCTCACAATAAGCAGCATGAGTTTTTATTTACTGTTTCAATAAAATACAGTAGTACATTTTTGGAAAAATCAGCCTCTATCCTGCAAAACCCCAAATTACGAGCCATTATAATGAATATAAATAGCATGGTTTATGCACATTGTCACTAAATCTCATATCAGGAGGGATGGGATATAAACTGTATAGATTAGAGTGATTTTGATATGATTTATATCATCAAAATAAGCAACCAAATGTTGCTAGATAAAAAAAATCAAAAGTTTTTATTGTTCTATAATGGAAACCATGGCTAAGCCTTAGATCAGTGGTGTTGAACCTATGGCACGTGTACCAGAGGTGGCACTCAGAGCCCTCTCTGTGGGCACACGGGCCATGCCCCGGAGATCTTCAACCAGCAGCCTGCTAACTCATCAAGGTCCCACGTGGCCAGATGTATCCCAGCACCCATGCGCTCGCTGGCCTCTGTGTGCAGGGGCCGATGGTGTCAGGCAACAGCCGCCGCGGCCCCTGACTTGCCTTGCCCTGCGATGGCATCCCCACCCTGCCTCACCTTACCTCACTCCGCAGGATGAGCCTCCTGCCCACCGCCCCATCTGCCAGAGACCCCCTGGATCTTCCCCAACCCTGCCCGGAACCCACATGCATCCCTCCCCACGAGCAACATCGAGGTGATCACACCCATCTTGGCCACACCCACCCAGCCTGCCATGACCACCACAGCCACGCCTACTCTGGGCCACGCCCACCTGGCACCCGGTGATAAATAAGTGGGTTTTGGGTTGCAGTTTGGGCACTCGGTCTCTAAAAGGTTCGCCATCACTGCCTTAGATGAACCCTGGACTCTCGCAGACAATGCTTTGTTGTAACTTCTTTTGTTTCTCATATATTAGAGAACTTGCCTCACTTTTTGGGCCAGTAGAACAGAATTCCCTCCCTTTTGCTTCTGACTACTGTATGTGACATTTATGAGCCTGTGAAGCAAGCTCTTTTATTATTTAGGAGACCACGCCACCTCCCATCTGTCAGCTGCTGGTGGTCTTACCTTCTGATAATCGTTTTGTACCCCATGAAGAGGAATTGATCTTAGAACCTGCTGTGGTAAGAACTCTAGGTTTGTGTTGGAAATTATTTCCTGGAGGAAAGTTTGCTGAAGAAGAAGAGAATTGGGGCAGGGAGAGTGAAATACCTAAGGCAGGGGTAGGCAACCCAAAACACTCAAAGAGCCACTTGGATCCGTTTCCCACCAAAAACAAAACACTGGAAGCCGCAAAACCCTTTTGATATCTAAAAGAAAGATAACACTACATATATCCTTTTTTACCATACACACACACACACACACATATATCATAAAAGTAAAAAAGGATATATGCAGTGTTATCTTCATTTTAGATATCAAAAGGGTCTCTCTGTGTCTCCCTCCCTCCCTCTCACTCCCTCTCTTTCTTTCTGCCCTTGGTCTGCCAGTCCTCTTGTCCCACTCTCTTTGTCTCTCTCTCTTTCCTCTCTCTTTCTCCCCCCCTCCCTCTCCGATCTTCTGCTCACCTGGCAAGCTGGCTTCAACAAGCTCAGAGATAGGCAACCTCCGCTCTTTTATGACTCATGGACTTCAATTCCCAGAATTCCTGAGTCAGCATAGCTGGGCTAGCTAGCTCTCTCCTGCCCTTCCTGCTTCCTGCAGAGACAGCAAAGGGAGGAGCCATGCCCAAAAAGATTTTCAGCTTATCGGAGAACACAGTGAGTCCACTCTCTTTTACACACACACACATACACACACACACACAGAGAGAGAGACAGAGGGAGACAGAGAAGCAGGGAAGCGCAAATGGCAGAGGAGGCTGGGAACCACAGGGGAAGGCTCAAAGAGCCTCATGCGGCTCCGGAGCCGCAGGTTGCCGACCTGTGACCTAAGGCATGGTTGGAAGCATCAGGGAGTCCTGATCAAAATCAAGATGGCAGTCACAACTGAGTGACTGAAGCTTTGCTCTTTTTTATATATGTATCAATGTTACACAGGATAATTGTTCGATAACGGTGGAATCACACATTTTGCTAAATTGTGATGTGGTTTGATTGGCTTTTAGTTTAAAGTTTGGTACAAATCTTTGTGGTTGATAAACAGAGATTAATGGTTTAGTATGTTGTGCAGTCCAGCTAACTGTAGTTTATTCAATGATCCTGGTTAATGCATGGTTTGAGATGGAGTGAATCCATCTACGTGTTAACTGGAGGCAAGTCCATTATAGAAAAACTGAACTGATGAGAGAAACTTACAAACTGTTGGCCATCTGAGATGCCATTTATTGTTTATTCAGCTGTACCTTTCTATCAGTTGAGACATTAGTCAATAAAGCTTTTACCTGATAATGAAGAAAAAGCTATATAGTGTATTGTTTTTGGCTAAAATCACAATGAAACCAACTGATAAGTGAAGGAGGTAGCTTATAATTGCATGATTACATAAACCTCTGGACATTCTCTAGTCTAGACTGAATTGTATGAGCTGGGTATTATTAACCAAAATTAGCTCATAGGGTCTGTGTGTATAATTTATTTAATACATTCCTAGATAAAATCAATGGAGTTGTGTATATATTCCCATAAAACAATTTGGAGTATATAGCAAATAAATGTAAGCATGCAAATAATATTAGAATAATGGGGTTAGGGGTGAGGAGAAAAAAAGTATTGTTTCTATCATGCAAGATGCTGCAGAAAGGAAAAAATACGTTTTTTTCCTTTGGACAAAATAAACATTTCATTGTGTATTTTTGTCTTTCGAAGAACTACTACTGGGTAGTAACTATTTTTAGTATCACTTTAGGTCTAGCCTTGACTTAACGGTTTAAGGCTGAGATAAGGAGGTGTGATGACAAGATATTGGGTATTACTGAAAATAATTTGGGACTTTTTGTATCTCATGCAGTCTCCTTATTCTGCAGGAAATCCGGCTTCTTTTGCTGCATGAACTTCCACATTATGCGGCTTTGGATCAGTTGACCCCAGCACTAGGTGGGACTCTGAGCTATGCGCCACCCAAATGGGTTAGAGAACATCAGGTATGGGAAAATAGTAATGAATGAGCCTTATGTTGACACAAAGAATTTATCCAGAGAACTAAAGCAGCCTCCTGTATTTTCTGCAAGAAACTTTCCTGCCTTTTTCCTTCAAGAATATGTAGTTAATATTTCCATCTTCCATAGATAGCTTTTACATTATGGGTGCTTGGAATGTGAGCACATACCTTATATTTACAGGAATCATCCATTTCAGAATATAGTTCTAACTTGGACAATCTTAAAATGTAGGTTCTTTATTAAAATATATTGTAACTCTCTGCTTTTATAACACTGCTCAATGCTCCCCCCCTCTCTCTGTGCGTGTGCGCACCCAGGCTCTTGAACAACTACAAGATCTCTGCTGTAGTGTTCTCCAGACTGTGTGTGAAGCCAGTGACCACCTCAAGGCAGTGGGAACAGCTTCAAGTCAGGAGGTAAATACATGTGATATTTATATAAAAGTTATGAGGTTATGCAATTGAATTATACAATGAGAAGTACCCTTTCTTCTTGCTAGTACTTGGAGTAGAGTTGCAGCATTGGTCATCGTGGGATAAAAATTTTCATTCTTGCTTCTGTCTCTGATTAATTCCCCAGTTGTAGGCGTTCATTAGACACTAATAGTGAAAGTAAGGGCTGGAGCAGGGATCCCCAACCCCCAATCCAAGGACTGGTGACGGTCAGTGGCATGCCAGAAACTGGTCTGTGCAAACAAGCAAAGTCCCGTCTGCGGACTGTAGGCAGTATGCAAAACCACACCCCCTCTGGTCTGTGGAAAAACCTCTCCATGGAACCGGTCCCGGGGCCCAAAAGGTTGGAGGCTGTTGGCTAGAGGACTGAGTCAGTTGAAGACTCTAAAGATATGCATTTTAAAAATGGGCAAAGAACACCTCCCAGCACCAGGATATTTACCAACACTCTAAATAGCTTATGGGATACCAGGAAATTCAAAGAAAACACTACTATTTTAAAATTTACTGAAATATCATTAAATCAATCCTCAGCAATTTTCACATCTCATATGAGACCACTAATATTTTCCAAAATGTTGCTCCAAATGGTAAGAGATTTCAGAGATTTTGTGGTCATGGATACCTTTAGAAGCAACCTAAGTTGGATTCTTCTGTTTTCGTCTCCATTATACTGTATGAAAATGTGTAGTGGAAGATTGTTTTAATTCTCTTTTCAGTGACACAATAATTAAGTATCTCAATAGTTGATTTTTAAGAAAAGACACTTTAGCTGGATTTTGGATTATCATTTGAAATTGGCAGTATATGTATTTGTGGAAGGCTGTGTTTTTCGTTAAAAGTAGGCAAAGTATATGGAAAATGAGAAACAGCACAAATACTCATTTTAATGATACATAATGGATTTCTGAATGTATACATGTATCTACTTATGACTTTATGATAAGTACCAATAGAAAAGATTGAGCTGTGGGGTCCTTGGTGCTCTCTGAGCTTGGGTGTTCTTTCTGTTTCATTACCAAACTAGGTAACAGCAGCAGTGCTAGTAGGGAGTAGGGTTTGCTTTCATAAATTCATAAATAAATCATACATTCTTGGGCTTGCAACTGGATACATATTACCTTAAAGCAGGGGTCCCCAACCCCCAGTCTATGGACCAGTACCGGGCTGCAGCATGCCAGCAACCGGGCCACACAAACAAGCAAAGCCCCATCCACAGGATGCAGGCAGCACATAAAACCACGCATCCTCGGTCTGCGGAAAAACCTCTCCACGGAACCGGTCTCTGGTGCCCAAAAGGTTGGGACCTCTGCCTTAAAGCAAATCATGCTGAACATAGTGAATCTCATTTCTGAACAAAATTGTATTGGAGCCTATTGTAAATCATTTACATTCAATGGTACTGCCAGATATGAGGTCCTAGGAAAACTGCTCTTGGGTCTTGCACATATACTTCTTAGAGCAGCGGTCCCTAACCTTTCTGGCACCGGGGACCAGTTTCATGAAAGACAGCTTTTCCACAGACGGAGGGGGCAGTGCAGGGATGGTTTCACATGCAACCTAAATCCTGCACATCAGCCGATGAAGCTTTGCTTACTCACCTGCTGCTTGAATGGCCCAGTTCCTAACAGGCCATGGACCGGTACTGGTCTGCGGCCCAGGGATTGGGGACCAGTGCTTTAGAGAACACCTTTTTGCTCACTTCATCCTTCCAATACTTTCTTTTCTTTTCCCCTTCTTCCCACTTTATCCATTATTCCATTCTTATCAGACTGGTAAATGATATACTGTCCGTGTTGCAGTTAGTAGACTTGTATTAGATTGTCAAGTCTTATCAGCCTGATTACTCACATGTTAGTTGCAATGAGCATCTGAAACTGGACAAAGCAGATAATGGGAATCTTTCCTAATAATCTTGCACATACTTCGCTTATTCTGCATTGAATCTCAATAAAAATCTGATGACTCAGAGAAGCTCCATCTCACCCCACCAGAAAAAATATTTCTAAGAACTTCTGTAGCTAGTCCCTATACAGCTTCACCAATATATTTCCACATTCATAAGATCAAAACAGTTCTCACAGAAGTAGTAAGAGAGAGGCTGGGCTGTATACTTTAGACCACAAGATGTATTTATTCATGCATTTATTTATTGTATCCCATCTTTATTATTTTTACAAATAACTCAAGGTAGCAAACATATCCAATACAACTTTCTCTTCCTATTTTCCCCACAACAACCCTGTGAGTTGGGTTGGGCTAAGAGATGACTGGCCCAAATTCACCAGGCTGGCTTTCATGGTTTAGAACCATGTGGTACATTCTTCCCAGAAACATAATAAGATAAAGATGTCTGGTGTATAAAATTCTAGTCTTCCAGTTTTCTTAAAGGAAGGACTATTTTTATTTAGAGTGAAGAGGCAGTCAGTACTAAGAGCCAAATTTTCAATTAGAAGTGGTACAAGCCAACTAATGTTTACCATCTCAGTGAAAAATAAGCTTGTTATTCATAAGAACTAGGTCATTCATCGGAAATAGTTTTCCAAGTGGAATTTGAATAGACATCTGTTGTTCCCTGTGACTAAAAGAAACAAGCTAAATAATAAAACTATAGCAAATGCATTGATCTTTAAAGCATAGAATGTTCAGAGGTCCAGTGGGCTTCTTTTGTAGTGGTAGGAGGCTTGTTAATTTTTCACGGCATACTAAAGTACTTGCTATCATGTCAGTCTTTGTGGGACTTTTCTCATTTTGTTGGCCCTGCCTATCACCTTTGCTCTGTTGTCATCTGTAGCTTTTCATCTTTGCAGGAACTGTCAACTCAAATCACCTTGCACCAGGAAACTATGCAGAAATTGCTTTCAGAGCCTCGTTTACTGGAACTCCAGTGCCGTGGAGGCTCCTTGCTGGCACGGCTACCTCCGTTGGGACCCTGCAGGTGAGGAACAATTTTAGAAGATGATACAGGTAGTCCTCGACTTATAGCAGTTCATTTAGTGACAATTCAAAGTTACAATGGCAGTGACTTAAGGTCATTTCTCACACTTAACGGCTGTTGCAGCATCCCCTTGGTCACATGATCAAAATTCGGATGTTTGGCAACTGGTTCATATTTATGATTGTTGCAGTGTCCCAGGATAATGGGATCAGCTTTTGTAACTTTCTGACAAAGTCAAGGGGGGGGGAGCCAGATTCACTTAACAACAATGTTCCTAACTTAACAACTGTAATAATTCACTTACCAACTGTGGCAAGAAAGATCATAAATGGGGCAAAACTTACTTAACAAATGTTTCACTTAGCAACATAAATTTTGGGCTCAATTGTGGTCGTAAGTCAAGGACTATCTGTAGTAATTTATGAACTGTAATTCCTAGGATCCATTGGACGATCCATTGGAGACTCTGGTGGGAACTGCTGGGAATTGTAATTCATCAGCATTTGGAAATTAATTCATTATGTCTAAGTGGGACTTCTCTGGGATTAATTTGTCCCTTTTGAGCAAATGCTCTTTTTATATTGTGCTACTTCAGAGTAATATTTTTTTCCCCAACTTGTAGTACGCAAGCTGTGGATGCCACAAGACTCTATCAAGAGGTGGATGAAGCCCTTCATGGACTTGTCCAACTCAGCAACCGGTGTCTTGAGATATTGCAGCAAGAGAAGAAAAACATACAGGTAATTAATTTCTAAGATTTGTTTCTCTAGGAAGAGTTGGCAAGAATGTCATTAAGCAAAGAAACTAATTAGATCTAAAGTTTGTATCCACTACAGGAGCTTCAAAAAAAATGAAGCCAGGCAACTGTTTTCCCAAAATGGAATGGACAAATTCTAGGTTCAAAACTTTCCTTTCTTCCTTATTTTCTAATCTTAATAATACACTCATGAGCAGACAAGACTTATGATTTCTTAAAAACCAGAGCCTTCTTGCTAGGGAATGTTGAATGAGATGAATGGCTGTGGAGACTGTCACTTCAAAAGCCTAATTTTCTTTAGATTTGAGATGAGTGGGAGGTAAAGTGACTCTGAGGAGTTGGGAGTTAGCTGACTGAGGAAAAAAAAACTATGTAGAAGTTAGTGAATGAGGATAGGTGTTCCCAGTGATGTGCAGAAATGCTACAACGGGAGAATGTATTGAATTTGCCTATCTTCTTCAAAAGCTGAAAAAGATTTAAATCAGCCTTTCCCAATTCTAGCCATTGCTAACTATCCTGGAAAAGACAGTCCACAAAATTGGAAGGCATCTGGTTCAAGAGAGGACACCTTAAATATTTCAATGGATTAGTAGATGCTTAAAGAAACGGTGAATGTAATGCCTGGGACTGACCAAGGTTGCCTTTTCCTTTTTCCTCTGATCTCTCTTCATAGGTTAAGCAAGAAGGCAAAACATGCCTTCAGTCTGGTGACAACAGTGTAGCAAAGAAAAGAAAGGACGAGAGACCAACTGAAGGGCTAGCTGAAAGAACATCCTTGGAGAAGAAACTGTTACAAAACCCCAGATCTTCAGGGAAGTCACAGGTCACACTCGAAGACAGTTCTGTTCCTCGAGCCCGCGCATGCAGCATCAGTGCTTCTTCCTCACCTAAGCATGGCTTGGTGCTTGGATCCAAGTTTGGTTCCTCTTGCAGTTTAACTTCTCTCTTTCAGCCACTTACCAGCCCCAAGGCCTCCCCGTGTTGTTCTCCTGCCCGAAGCAATGCTCTAGATGGCAGAAAGAAGAGCCAGAGGCCTCTTAACACTTCCAAAACACCTACATCTCCAGCTAATAACCTGGCATTACGAGCCTTGAGTGATCCTGGTCGCCCTAGTGTGCATATACGTGGTCTGGAAGTAAGCAGTCGGGAACTGGCAGACAGGAGCTGTTCTCCCCGTGAACATGTGCTGTTGGGACGCAGCAGAACTCATGTTGCTGAAGCACCCTGGGGGGCCACACCTCGCATGGAAAGAAGGCGTTGCCTTGGGTGAGTAGGGGCAAGAAAGTTTGTGGCTATCTTTTGCTTAGCTGTTCCACAATAGAATGAAAAGATTAAAAAGTTGCTGATTGCCTGGAGGTGTCATTTTTAAAAAAAAGAATCTAGATATACAAGACGATTTGACTCGAGACTTTAAATGGCTTCTTCCCTTCAGGACCTGCTCTTTGTCAACTCAGAGGGTAGTATAAAAATGGCTTTTAAGCTGCAGGGAGCAAGATTTGGACTGAATATTAGGGAAAATTCTCTAAGAATAAGAGCAATTCCGCAGTGGAACCAATTATCTAGAGAGCTTCCTTGTGCTGGATGTTCTGAGACAGAAACTTGATAGATATATGCCGGGAGGTTTTACTTGGCCTTGGTGGGCTAAATGGTTCCTTTGTTTTGTGTTACTCAGGCTTCAGGTATTGTATCCAGCTCTGGGCACCGCAATTTAAGAAACAGACCCACTGGAACACGTTCAGATAAGAGCATCGAGGTTATTTGTGGAATTCAAATAAATGAAGAGACATTGAAGGAATTGGAAATGTTTAGCATTGAGAAAGATGTGGGAGAGGGTAGGATAGCATTACTTGAAAGGATTATCACACCGAAGAAAACTTAAGATTTATGCTCCATCTGTCCTGAATGCAGGATATCAAATAATGAATTCAAGTCATAATAAGGCAGATTCAAATTGAATGTTAGAGAAAAACTACCTAATAGAACAGTTCAAACATAAACAATTGCACAGAGAAATGGTGAATTCCCCTTCACTAAACATGTTCAAGCACAGGCTAGACAACTATCTTTCAGGGAGGTTTTAATTTGGATTCTAGCATTAAGTAGGGGAGTTGGGCCTCATGGCCTAAATAGTTTCTTGTACTTTGTTTACTCTGTCATTTACATGAGACCCAGTCCTCTTAGAAAATTATCTTCTAAAAAAGAGTCATTGTCATGGACTCAGTTATTAACACATGTTTTTGTTGAAGCTTGCTCTGCAGAGTTGATACTGAGCTATGCTTGAGAGACAAGATAAGCTATCCTTCCCTCTACCAAATCTGGTGACCAAAATCCATTATCAATAGCTAATTGGCTAGCATACTGGTCAGCCACATCATAACGTAATAAACATTTCACAGTACTATCCTTCATACTAGTTCGTGTGTATTCCTATTCTGCATTAGGATTGTACAGGTTTAGAAAATTATTGGTGAAAGCAGAACCTCTATGCTATTCCCTAAAGCAATTAGTTGCATTTTGGATTTCTACACAAAACTAAAAAAAGTATGCTGCTACCTTAATGAGCTTACTCATTACAGTTAATGCTAATCTTAAAGCAACTACATCTTTTTTCCTAGCCTGGCACAGAAATCTGAAAAATGGTCTACTTTAATGAACAGCAGAGAGGCATTGTGCTTGTGCAAGATCTGAAACTCCTTCTCTGAATGCACTGCTTTATTGTGTATATGCTTTGATTACATCCCAGTGCAACCAAATGCATTTTAAATTTTGCATCATGCCTAGAGAAAGACTGTACGGAATATCATATGACAGATGATACATAAATATTGTAAATGTATAAAATAACCTGGAACCAGAATCATACCCAATGAAAATAAAATTATACATTTGCAGATATGCAATGTGGTTCAAAACACTGATTGAACACGTTTTTTGGTGGGGGAGCAGAAGCAGCTGATAAACCCTTGTGCTGATGTTCTGTTGCCAGATGTGTTGTAACATTCCTCGCTTAACAGACTTGGCTGTCACCAGATGGTTCAAACACGGCTGGGCAATTTTGAATGTGACCATTCCTCCCTCTTTCTCCTCAGGGTCCAACAGCAGCTTTTGGTTGAGCTGCTAGAGTGCGAGCGGGAGTACGTGGGTGCCCTTACCCAGCCCTTCTCTCTATCTCAGGAGCCCGGGGGACAGGCCTGGACAGCTGAGTTAAGATGCCTGGGCAGTGCCCTCCGGGCCACACGAGACCAGCTGCTGGCCTTCCATTCCAACTGCCTCCTGAGCGAGTTGGAGGGGTGCATGAACCACCCGTCACGCGCTGGCAGCTGCTTCCTGCGCCATGTGAGTGCTTCCTTTCCTCAGCTGCTACTCCACCTGCTGCATGCTGGGACCCATTTCCTGTGTCAGAATTCCACCCCTTTCTTTCCTTCCTTTCTCACCCATCCACTGACAGAGCTTCCTCAACCACGTGATCATCTCTTGGTTCTGAAAGGCCTTTTTTTAAAAAAATGTTCTGGCATATGTGAAGAAACAGCAAAGCAGAGATTTCCTCTGAGCATATAGAGTTGCTTTTTGCTCCACCCCTATAACTAAAGAGTCTCTTGATGTGATACCAGGGTTTTAGGGAAGAGAGCCCAGCTTCCCAATAGCTTTTGTGTATAGGCCCATTCTTTTAAAAATCAACAATATTTATTTATTTGTTAATTGATATCCCCCCTTTTGTATAAGAGCTGAAAATGGGGGACATAGCATTGCCTCCTCCTATTTTTCCCACAACTGGTGGTAGATTGGACTGAGGAGAGTGATTCATCCAGAGTCGCCCAATGAACTTTGATAGCTCAGGGTGCATTTGGTGCCAGCCCAGTGAATCACCCTGGCTTTCAAAATGCCCATACATAAGTCTTTAATCAGATAAAATCTCCTTTGAGTAGAGCATGGCTCCCAGCAGTCCTCGACTTACAATTCATTTAATGACCATTCAGAGTTACAATGGCACTAAAAAAGTCACTTATGTCCATTCTTCACATGACCATTGCAGCATCCCCATAGTCATATGATAAAAATTCAGATGCTTGTCAATCGATTCATATTTATGATGGTTGCAGTATCCTGGGGGTCATGTGATCTTTTTTCATGACTTTCTGACAAGCAAAATCAATGGGGAAGCCAGATTCACTTAACAACCATGTCACTAACATAACAACTGCAGTGTTTACTTAACAGCTATGACAGGAAAAATAATAAAATGGGGCAAAACTCACTTAACAACTTTCTTGCTTAGCAACAGAAGTTTTGGGTTCAGTTGTGGTCATAAATTGGGACTACCTGTACGTAAGTGGTTTGCCGATATCACAAGTTTGACTGTCATTGCTTTCTCAACTTCTAGTCTTCTTTCTCTCTCTCTTTTTTTTCCTTCCGTCTTTAACCTTTGATAAGACTGCCGGATCTGGGCTGCAAAGCTCCAGACAACCACTAAATGGTTGTAAAGAAGTACAGAAGACTCTTTCCTTGCTGTCATGTACTGGCCATCTTAATTTTTGCTTCCAAGATATAGTAGATCCAACCTTTGTTTGCTTTCTGTATCCAGAGAGAGCAGCTAGGATAAATTATCTCTAACTAGTAAAAGTAAACAGCCTGTCTTCAATATAGCAGCAGGATAGCTAGCTACTGTTCCTGGAGATATATCAATCTGGTTCACAGCAAATGCAGGGTTGTCCATCTTTAAAAATCTAGGTAAAAGCTCCCCCTTTTAAAAAGCTTGGGGTTCTTTATCTTCATTTTTTAAAGATTATGCAGAAAGCACAGTAATGGCCAAACTGCCTTTCCTTCTGGTCAGTTGTTTGGGAAAGTCTCTTTTGATTCAGAGCTCTGCCCTTCTGTTTTGTCAGAATTATACTTTGCCTTAATTCTTGAGTTCTCCATGTTCTTTGTTTACCTGCTCTACTACAAGAAACCTTCATCTACATGCCTGCTACAAAGTTTTTGCTTCTCTCCATTAATAAAAAAGACATTTTTTTCAAAGAGCCTATCACCTTATTAAAATGTTGTGTTTTCTCCTGCTTTTTAAAAGTCTGATAATACAAATGATCAGGACAAGCTTTGCTTAGCATGGAAATAAATTGATAAGGAATGTTAATTCCATAATTAATGCATGGAATTCAAAAGCAGCAAGGCTGAAAAAAAGAGATGGAAGTCCTTCTTTTTAGCTTGCCTTGTCCTGTTAAAAAGAATGGAGGGAGTAAGAGCAAAAATGAGCATAACTTGCCCATACACTAGAGAGAAGAAGATTTTGCTCTGTTCCAATAGCCAGTTTTCCTGGAATTTACCTGATTGTTACTCCACTGATGAGAGTTTTTTTTCTTTCCTACTTCAGAAAGAAGAGTTTCAATTGTATGCAACCTATGCCAAAGATCACCACAAGTTCCAGGCTGCCCTGGCTTTGCTTCGAAGCACTGGCAAGGTAAGTGAGTTGCGGCCAAGTGGCAGACAGAGATGGAATTTCCCTTTTGATCTTGAAAGGCCGGATGAATCAACTGCTAAAGAAAACAGCTTCTGTTCACAGGAGGCCCTTTTTACTCATTAGATTAGGTGTCCCTGAGATTAGCATAGTTATAGTTGCATTGAAAGTTTGATCATGTACAGCCTGCTGGCCATCCCAAAAAAAGCTCAACTTTGGAATATTTGTGTAGTTTCATTCATTGTAGAGATCTGGATTATGGAATATCCAGGAAATGGTGATGTAACAGATAACATTGGTTGTTTCATTCTAGCCTTCTGTCTTTATCCTCTCCTTCCTGCAGAAAGGTCTGATGGAGCCACGTGAGGATGGACAAATAGCATACACTTTGCAGGTGCCTCTAGAGCAACTGGAGCGGTATCGGCGCTTCCTGGGTGAGCTGCTACATGAATGTGAGCTCGAGCAGGGGCCTGACCGCCAAGCCCTACAGGAGGCACAGCAACTGCTGGAGGCACAGGAGCAGCGAGGCAGAGACCTGTTGGCCACAGAACAGATCCGGGGCTGCGAGGTGAGCGCATGGGCGCTCCCATCGTATGGTGCTGCATCTTTCCTACTGCTTACTGTGCATGTGCTGTTTCCTCCCATGCCACTTGTCTAAACCCCCGTTTAATCTTTTCTGACGTTGCAAAGTTCTATGCTGTTGCCAAACTCTGATCTCTTTGAACTGTGCAAAGCTCTGAATACTTAACAGCAAACACAAAAATACTGGTGGGCAAATTGGGGGCACCGACAGTCTCCCACTCTTCTGAGAACTGGAGGGAAAGGCAACCTTAGTTTCATTGTGTGTTCCTGCTCCTTTGCAGATGAAACTGTCAGAACAAGGGCCATTGCTTCAGCGTGGTGAACTCATTCTGTTGTCTGGACGCCGTAAATGCCAGCGACATGTTTTCCTATTTGAGCAGCTGCTACTCTTTACCAAATGTAAAGGAGCTGAGGGTAGCTATGTCTGCAAACAGGCCTTGCAGGTAGGTAAAGTGGTTATCCTGAATAATATTTTCCCAAGCTTTAGGGGCTAGAGTATAATTTGGGGCTATTTTAATCCGTACTGATGAAATTATTGTCTGAAATGAGATTGCTTTAGTTATCCGTTCAATAAATAAACATAATTGTCAGACTTGCACATGACAAATAGCTGAAAGCCACTGCAAATGCAGTGTGGAAAAAAGGATTGGGAAGAAAAATAAAACGTGGGGAAGAGGAAGAGACTGATTATCTCACCAATAACTCAGCTGACATCAGGGAATAAAATTAGAATTCTTGGTGAAAAATCTTTCCAACCAAAAAGACTTCTCTTCTCCTGGATCACTTCTCTCTCAGCTTTGCATGTAAACTTACTTCCTATTGCAGATAGTGCAACAATATTTACTCAGACATCTTGTTCATATATTGCAGTGAACAATGGGTTTAATAATGATTTACTGCATAAGTTATAACTGATTGAGGCTGCAGAACAGTTAAGTGAAAATCAAATTACATTGCAGCTGATTATGAAGCGTGAATAGTGCCACATTTTCTATTGTTTCCTCTCTCTTCATACAGACTGCTTCCATGGGGCTGACAGAGAGTGTGGGTTCTAGTGGGTTACGTTTTGAGCTTTGGTTCGGAAGGGGACCAGCCCGGCAGGCCTATACATTACAAGCAGCTTCTGCTGAAGTCAAGCATCAGTGGACAAATATTATAGCCCAACTGCTCTGGAGACAAGGTATGAGCATGCCTAAGGAAGGATGGTCAGCTCAATAGGGGAATGTTTTGATTGAGGGAGGGTTAGGAGTTCTTAAAATGTTTTATTTATTCTTTTCTTGAAAGAAAAGAGAAAAGTTGCATAAAATCTATGTCAAAGATTAACATTAATTTTATTTTGAAAAAGAAAGACAATCAGTGTAGTTTTTTAGTGTTATTATCCCCATAAGTTTAAAGAACTAGATCTGTCAGACAAAGCAAATGCTACTTTGTGTGATCCAGAGAGTTCAAAACAAAAATATAGTTTTGATTATGTCATTTGATTACCAACATCATCATGACCAGGGTTTTTAGTTAAGCCTAATCTTGGTACATTCCCATTGGTGTTTTTTGGGGGTGGGGGGTGGGAAGAAGGTTGTATATGTGTGGATGGGGAGTTGCATTTCAGGCAGTTGACTGCTTAAGAACTGATAAGAAAAAAGGCAGTAATGAGCAGACTGTAACCAACAATGCAGTGATGCATTAACTGTAAGTAAATGTAGCCTTATTGCCTTTACTATACACAAAAGAACTGTAGGGAAGAGAGGAAATAGATTTGCAAACAGTGAAAACTGGTAGATCAATTTCAGAACCTTTTTATCTGCAATCAGAAAGCCAAGAGTGGACCAAAATAATCTCCTCCACTTTGTTTGGCCCACGAGTTTAAGATGGAGAAAGGCCACAAAAAATGTGGTTGAAATATTATCTGTTAGTGAGATGGGAACAAACTGTAGAGGGAGAGGTATTCTCAGGGACAGGGGTATGAATCAAAATGCCTTGGATGTTTGTCTCTTTTTTTTCCCTCCTCACTTCTCTTCAGCTGCCCAGCCAAGTGTCTCAATGAGCTTGTCCTCCTGCCCTTCTCAGCGCTTAGCTCCTCTGGGCCTTGGCCCTGGTCCCCCTCCTGGCTTGTCACTCCCTGGCCACTTTGAGGAAGAGGAATGGGACTTAGATGTCAAGCCCATCCCGAGAGGTAGCATCACTGTTCTTCTATCAACCCTCTCAAGAGACTAGTAGTTGCTTCTGCTGGTGCTTAACTGTGTTCTGTGTTCTTGTTAGCTCACACCTCTGGATCAGAGGGAGCCTCCCCAAGCCACCATGAACCACTTAGGCAGGGGAGAAGTTCACTGCCTGGCAGCAGCTCTGCTTTAGGACACCCTCAATCGGTGAGTTTATTCAGTGTTTAAATGTTTTTTGATGATAAGAGTTGTAATTGAGTTCTTTTATTAATCTCATGATAATGCCTTTTCTTGACTGTATTATTTCTGGTTTTATGTGGGGAAAGGGAAATTGTGCTGGATGGGTGTTCTACTTGGATTATCTTTGTTTCAAAGACATCCAGAGGGCGGGTCTCAACCCTCATATTTCATTATTATAATCAACATCTCTTAGAAGTGACACCCCTCACTCCTTGGGGAGAAGTGCCTGCAACCTGAAATGCTGTGAATCGGGGAAGTTGTTAGCAGTTGAATCTGTTGATTATAGGAATCATTACTAAGTATATGAGCTGCCCTGAGTGGAAGAGTGCCCCAAGACTTTTTACTTACCATTGCCAATTCTGTCCTTTAACAAAATTATGAAAGACCATCTTTCAGTTGCTGGTAACCTTGTGGGTGTTTGAACAGTTATGTGTTTTTTTGTGCCAAATAGTATGATTCAGCTGTTCTACCCTTCCTCTCTAGGGTTCACTAGGCCATCCCTGATGGCTTGTTTTTTTCTTTATTTGCCAGAGCTTTGGCATTGCCGGCGAACCAGTGACCCCACTCTGAGATTGGGGCGGCCAGGTACAGCCCCCCCGCCAAACCTTTCTGCCTTTGTGCAACTTCCCACTCCGTTCGTGTATCTGCTCCCTGCCATCCCCATTTCCCTAAGCTGCAGCACATAATATTCCCAAGAGCCTTTCTTTCAGTCTATATTACAGGGATACTTCAGGATGTCTGCTTCATCCCTGTTAAATGAGTGATTCTGTGTCCAGGAGCTCTTCCTTTTGTGTTCCACCGTCCTATAGCTTCTCTGTCCTCTGTGCCACTGCCATGCAGTTGTCTTTATATTACTACTGCTATTTAAAATTCCTCTAATATCTATACAGCTGGCTAACATAATGGCTAACTGTGAGCTGAGTTTTCTAGTCCTCCATCTGGATAATGAAATAATATCAACCAATCTTGCACAGTTGTAACATTCTGAACAACTTGATACCTTCCAGTATTGTTGATTGTGAGTTTCATCATCTCTTGCCATGGGCCATGCTGATTGGAGTTGTTGAGAGTAGAAATGGAACATATCTGCAGGAGATCATGTTAGAAAGCAACCAAGTTGAAATGCTATGGATACTTTAAAAAAAAAAATGCTATAAAATGTTGCTTTCTAATTGCATGTTGGTCAGTGCTACGTACTAGTTAATGAATAATGGTATTAAGATTTAAACCTCAAATTTATTTTCATAAGGTCAGGATGGATTTTAAAGATTCAAATATAAAGTAGAAATATGTGGATTGAATAATTGAGAGGGAAGGTATTCAACAGACATATTTAAAATTGTTGATGACTTTCTAGAGTCTGATTTTCCTTTGTTTCTTTTTAGCGTTGGGTATGGAGCCTGCATCGGAAACTCTTTTCTCCAGGAAGCCATGGACGGCAAGATTCAGTTCCTAGGGACTCTGGGAACAGGACAGTTTGAGATCCTTGCAGAAACTTGGGGATTGGATGGTCATATTCAACAATATTGTGACTTGCTCCCACCCATTTCCTGATGGCTCTACTACCACTCCACAGAAACATCTAAATCGGTCATATCCTACTGTGGGATGTCCATGTCCTGCCTGATTACTACTCATTGAGTGCCTTTTCCGCCATTTTCTTGGATTGTGAATTTCCTGGAGAGTTTTGGTCAAGCTCATGCTATTGATAGTAAGAGAGGCTACCAAGCAAGGAAGCTCAACCAAGAAACTCCCAGGTTTACCCAAATTAAAAGTTGCTGGGAAAGAGGGAACTTGGTGGGTTTAATAATCTTCTGTTGAGGATCAGATGTGGTAATATCCATAGTTTATGGATCTGTACATTTATTGATTGCCCTATCGCCAATCACAGCTTCAGTCTTAAAATCAGTTGGTATTTTATTCTCTCCAGTGGTGATGAAATCTAGGCTACAGTTGTTAGGCAACTACAGCATCCATTTCCTGAACTTTCTCCAAGGTAATTTTAGAGTAAAAGAAAAAAAAAAATGGCATCTGGGCTATGTGATTGCCATATATAGAAGTAAACCCTTCTAAAATAGGATCAGATAGTTTCAGGTGAGTTACTCAAGATCAGAAGAGTAATATGACAATATGAGAATGATGTACAGTATGCATGATCATAGACCTTCGCAAGATAACCATTTTCGGGGACTGCCACTTTAGAATGTAAAGGAAGTGCTTGTCAATTTAATTTTGGGATTTTGAGCTTTTATTTTGCATCTTATTTGGTAGAGTAACTGGCACAGCTAGGACAGTTAAGATATGTTACATATCTATTTTATGTTTGCTAATATTTCTATGTAGAGAGTTTTGATGAATAGTACTTGGTTAAAGCTATGCCCCTACATTCTTGCAGTGTGAAGAGACATAAGACACATCATTGTTCTGTGATTATGCTGAGCATAAGAAAGAGATCCCTGAACTGCATATATACACCTTTAATTTTCAAGATTAATTTTGAGATGATTAAATAATATCACCGCATGGCTTGTTTAAGGAACAAGATTTGTACAAAACCAACTCCCATGTGAAAATCTATTACAGTGTGAGTGAAAATATCAAAGACTGGGGGAGAGGGATAGTTGCTTTTCCTTGTAGCATAAGATTGGCTTACTTGTTCTTTGCTTTTTTTCACATGCGGTATACTGTAATTCTGATTGGGGGAAGTAATCGATAAAGAAGTACAAATGGTGCTATGTTTAGAATTGAACAAGAGTTTCTAAGTTTTGAGGGGGGAACACTGTGACTGTACTATTGGATACAGGTAATTTTCTTAATTTGGTAAATTGAGTTATTTGGCATTTGTTCCTTTTTTATATGTCCTCTAGGAATTTAATAGAGGATTTTCTTTTATGCCCATATAGAAAAGGCGATAAAAATAACTGAGGTGAATTCATATAAAGATACTTGCACTTGTCTCAATGATTTTCAGTGGGAACAAAGAACAATTCAGTATTGGTCATATCTATTGTGATATTATTCCTTCAAAAGCAAACAAATTGTAAGAAGAGGCAAGAAGATGTAATGTAGAATATAAATTCGTAACTTTGGTATAGTGCACCGATTCTGAACAGTATTAGTAGACATTTGAGTATTGCTATAAATACCACTAAGTATATTGTGCCATGACTTTTGTTCCATTTTTTAAAAATACTAAGCTGTCAGTTCCCCCAACAGAAAGGGTTGCAATAGTATATAAGTATCTCTTTTGCTATTCATTTCTATTAATGAGGTGGGCCTACACTACTTTTTCTCTTTTTGGAGTAGAATTATTTACTTCGTTTATAACCACTTTTGGATGGGCTTGGTGCTCATTTATGTTTGGCCATACTGACCAGCATAAATTATGGTGCTGAAAATTTACTTAAACCTTGTTAAAGTGGCATCAATGAGGTTTAATTCTCACCATGCTGTCCATAAAGTTGTAAGATATATCAGAACTATGCAACCTGAAGAGCAACACTTAAAACTCTGCCAATTGATGGGCAAGACATATACAAACTGTCTCTTACAAACTGTTTATATCATGTATATTCTTTTTGTTTGCAGTTTCTTCTTAAATGGTCAACACTAGGTCAACCCAGTTGCATTCATAATTGTTTTGTTTTTGTTTTAAATTGCAGATCTAACTGACTATAGTAAACTAACTTAATTCAGATCTAGTTAGGAAACCTGGAAGGGGCTACTAGGAAATATCAGGGATGTAGGTAAGACTGGGAAGTCAAAAGACATCCTGGAAGACAGTGGCAAATCACTTCTGTATTATTGCCCTGCTCAGAGCCCTAAACAGGCAGATATAGGAAGCAAATAGGAAACAAGGACATCTTTTTATTGTGCATACACCCACCTACTCAACAGGAGCAACATGAAGGAGGTTTAATCTTTTTATGAACCATAGTCTCAGTGAGAACATCTATTTCTCCAATTAACTATAGAAAAAAAGTTTTTCCTGGTAGCAGTTGGAACTGTTTCCTTCAGGCTATTTGTCTTTCTTTTGTAATCTAGCCTCAGTGATTCTCTTTCTCCATGCCCCCTGCTAGTATTAAAATACAAATAGTATTTGGGTTATTAACACACAGTTAAGAGTAATGCCTAATTTGAGTTTTTGAGTAACTCTAGTGGTGCAAGTGATAGTGAATAAGGGACAGGATTCAGTATTTTACCATGGCTTTCCTTATGCTGCTAAAATCAGATGATGTTCCCTCCCTCTTTCATATCTGGGCCACTCCATGCTTAAGTGGAGGGGATTGCAGTATACAATTGAGAATATTCCTGTTCCCTCTCCTCTAAATATTTCCTCCCTAAACAAAACGTGAAAGTGAGAAATAAGGTTTTGTTGGGAGTAAAAAACTTTTTTAACATCCAATCATTAGTGTGTATTTAGCCCAGATTTTTGTGGCATCTGCAACGTTACGCATATACTGGTTTCAAATTCTACATTGTGTTCCAATGCTACTTACTGAACAACAAATGAGAAAAGATGGGGACTCATTTGATGGAAATTATGGTTGCTTTGTGGGTGGTAAAGATGGGCAGTGCTTTTAATTCTGGTTTAGAAAAATCAGAATGGATAAATCCATATTGGAATGGAATGTTCGGCATTTTGAGGCCCAATTTTCATGGGAAAAGTAAAATATGAGGCAATCATGCTTATTACCTACTATAAGTACTAAACAGAGAGCTGATATTCCATCAGAGTTGCCTAACAATATTATAGTTTTTAGAAAAACATGCTGAAACGATAATCATTTCTGTCCTTCAGCTCTAAAAGCTATAGTACTGTATTGCTTTTTTCTTTGATAGAATGATATAAATAGATAAACTAAGATAAAGTGAGGAAAAGAAAAAAAATCAAAGCTAAAAGTGCAAGGAAAAAAACTAAAAGTATGAAAAAAGATTCAAAGAAATAGCTTCCAATCTTATTTACCATTTATAACTATATTATAAATTTACTTCTTATTCTACATAACTCTTCTTTCTATATCTATCCTATGTAATTAAAACCATAAATCATAAGTTCATTTTTTTCTATTTCATGGAAAAAGTCTGTAAGGGATTTTCAGTCAACAAGAAACATAGATAGTAACTTTTTTCTGATCAAAGTCAATTTAGCATTTTCTTCACATTATCTTGATTCTCTATCAACTTTAAATGGAATATAAACATTCATTTAGTTTGTTCTTACATTTGGGTAGTTTTGTTTTTATATGTGGCTTTTATTATTACATAAAACTCTATCATCCTTTAGACTTTTCTTTCACTTGGAGGGGTCTCTAATGGAGAAAAGGCTATTTTTAGCAAGTCTAAATAGTGGTTAGTTTTACAAGGCTGCAATTAAGTACTCATTTGGACAGAAATCCCATTGAAATCAGTGGGACTTCTGAGGTTACAAATACAGTATGTTGTTAATGTATGTAGCTGTATTTGCACAGTTCTATTAAACCTGCTTTTACCCCCTCCTTCAGCAAAGCAGGGTTTTTCAGCTCACACTGTCATTTATCCATTTACTTGCCCTGCTTGCTGAATAGTCCCCCTCCCCCTTTAGGGGGAACACAATGCCAAGCTAATTTGGCCTCTTTCCCATCTGTTTTCCTGACTTAGATATTTGGCTGGTGTGCTCACTTTCCCATTCTTTAGAGAGCTACATAAGAGGTAGATAAAAACCTGACTTGTGGTTGCTTGGCAACCAGAATGTTCCTTTTCCTCAACTGACCTGAGTGGCTGAGCAGCAGCACTGAGAGGCCCTTCCATCAGACCACATGCCTGGAAGGACCATTCAGGTCTGCTTGTCAGCAGTGTGGCGTAACAAAGCAAATAGGGCTTGACTCTCACTCAGTGGTAGCACAACCTACCTGTTGCTGCTGCTGCTGCTCACAAACTTGGCTGCTGCCCATAGCAGAGTGCAATGTCGGAGTGGAATTTTGCCTTTCTATTCCTTGTGCTTTTAGAAGCCACACAGCATCAACCTTAAAGAAGAGAAGGCTTCGGGATATGAAAATGACTGTGTGGTCAAGTACCAGTTAGTGATGCCAATCCTGGCCTGAATTTTCAGTCAGGGTGCAGCAAAACAAAGTCAGCCTGTGTAACATTCTGCTTCCCCTCCCTCCTGCCAGGGACACTTCGTCATCCAAAAAATTCGCGCTGATTTCTTCCACTAATGTACAACAAAGCAGACAATGCTTGCTTGTGCCAAGTTACCAGCTCTTCTGCCCGCCCCCCCCCCCCTTCATGGCCCAACTGAGCAGGCTGAGACAGGCTGATCCTGCCTCTCCAATCCTCTGCTCTGTAATCTTCAATTGCACTACTGTTTGCTTGGCTCTTAACAGCGGCAGGGAGTTCTTGGCTTACGGTAGTGCTATTTTCTGATATGAAATACCAACCCAGAACTGGCTGTGTCCCTCCGCGGGCCCCCATCGGAGTGCAGACAATAACTTGTGCCACGGTAGTGCCACCCATCTTTCCATTTTCTCTCGGGGGGGGGAATAAGGTAAATAGCAATCTACTATTCTCTGGCACTCTTTCCAATCACTCCTCAGGCCGCCTTTACAAAGCTGGCCAGATAGGTTTTGGATGCCCCGGAATAGAGTGCCCACTTTCGTGGCACGAAAATTTCTTGTCCCCCCCCCCAATCCCCCGTGCCCGAGCAGAGGAGGCCGTGTTTCGGTGTATCTCTCCTTCGTTCCCCCTCCTTTCCAACCCGGGCTGCCCCCTCCCCTAGAGGCAGGGCTGCCTCGGCCGAGCCGGAGTGCACAATGGAGCCGGGTGATCCCTCGCCGCGCAAGGCTCAGAAATGCAAATCGCCGCCGCTGCCTGCGGCTCCGTACAATGGAAGGGAGGGAGGAAGGGAGCGAGAGAGAGGGAGGGAGGAAGGAAGAGAGAGCGAGCGAGCGAGAGACGGCGAGGAGGAGAGGAGAGGGGGGAGCCCCATTGGCGGGGAGGCTGCTCGCCCCGGCCCAGCCCCGACGACGCGGCGGGTCCCCGGAGCGCCCCCTCCTCCGCGCCGCCTCGCCGTGCGCCTTGGTGAGTAGCTGCGCTGCGCCGTATCGTCCGCCCGCCCACCGTGCGCCCCCCTCCCCAGAAAACCCGCCCGCCCGGCCGCTTGTCTCTTCTCCCCCCACCCTTCGCCCGACACCCAGAGCAGGTGCATGGCAGGAGGGGAAGCGCGGCCCGGGCTTCACTTTCCCTCTCGCGGGGGCGGGAGGCAGCCCGGCCGCGGGAGTGCACCGGGCCACGCTCTGGGCGCGCATCGCTTTGGTGCACAGAAATCGCTTGGCCTCGGCCTCGGGCTTCCTTATCCCCGAATGACCCGGACGATTTCCTCCATCTCTCTTTTTTTTTTCCTATATCCCTTTCCCGCCCCCCCGCTCTTCGTCTCGCCCCCCCCATCCACGTGACTATGACTAAAATTGCTGTTGGGGGGTGATCCTTTCTGCGGAAAGCAGAATAAGGAAATAGGTGGACGCGGAGGACATTTGGGGTGAAAGCACTCCGGAGAGGGATGGAAGGGGTTGCGAGAGCAGGTGGCTTGCAGCTACGGGGAGGTGTGGGTGGGATAGACGGAGGGGGGCGTCTTTAGAGGGGAGACCTCTCCCCCTTCTGCTCTGGTCTCCCCTACCACCACCCAACACGCACACGTTGGAGGTGGTGGTTTTTGTTCCCCAGTCCCAGAGTTTTTGAGCCCTTTCAGGAGTGGGAAGGTTGGTGGTCTAATGACCCAGTGCTAAGTTGAGGCTCAAAGATTGAAAACTATGTTGGGTGGGGTCGAAGGGTGGGTGGGTGGGGAGATCAGTAGCTCTTAGTCACTGGGAACAGCTCCCTTGGCACATCCTCCCATTCCCCCCCTGCTGCCCCCCCCATGTTCACTGGAGCATTTGCTGAGGCAGCTGCTCCCTTTGTTTAGGGCGTGTGGGGTGGGAAGGGGGTGGGAAGATCTGTGTCTTGCTGGGACAGTCACTCTCTTGTCTCTCTTACAGGCCAAGGCATGGCTGTGATGTGTGGAGACTGGCTGCTCCCATTCAGATATCCTCCCCCTACTACTTCATAGCTTGGAAGTTGGCAGGAGTTGGCTTGAGGCCTGGCAGTGGGGTCCCTTGAAAATTGCCACTTTTTTTTCTTAGAGTGTCTTTTTCTAAGAAGTAGCCATCTTGTTTATTGGGGGGGGGGAATGAATTGGCACTTTCTATCCTCAGCACCCCTTAGTACAGTTACATTGCATTAAGAAAATTAAACCCCTCCCTGTGTTTTGTATAAACAAAAAAGGACAATCTGCCTTTGCACCGAGTGGGCCCAAAGGACCTTGTTTGTGTATGTGTGTGTGTCTCTGTGTTTAACACATTCGTCATTAGGATACTACTGTCATAGGCCCAGCATGGCATGATGCCAAAATGAATCAGCTATCTTTTCTCCAGGCCTATGAATACCACCAGCATTGCTGCTTGATTTGAGCAATACCCTCGTGCAGCAAACTATGCCACCATTTTAGACAGCCAGATATTCCTTAAGGGTGGCAGTATAACATCTGATGTATAAATGCCTAAATCGGGGCTTAGCTTCAGAGCATAATCCTGGAATTTTTCAACAAATAAAATAAAAATGAGTTGAAGGACAAGTAGGCATCTTCTCCCTTCTCTGCTAATAAAAACTAGCTGTTCCCACTGTGATTTTGGGTCAGATCTTTCAAAATTGACTGTTTTCCAGTCAGGTTTGAGCCCTGCCCCAAATTTTATTAAAAACTAAGCTTTAGATAGAAACCTCCGCTTTCTGAGACAATAACTTTTCCTTTTGTTAGATAAGTTGTAAGTTTTCAAATTGCATTTATTTCAAGATTGTAAACTTTTAAATGGCACAGAGCTGTTCTTCAGACAGTAATGAAAAGGAAATTATGCAGTGCTCCTACTGCCTGTAAAATGCTTCTGAGCATCCTGGAAGCCTGATGCATTGTTTAGCCTGTTTCTTCAGGGGCTTGTTTGTACAAGTTTGTGATGTCATCGTAAGATCACTATATTGAAAGAATAAGCTTTGTCTCTACAAGTAAAAAAATATGAGTAAATTTCTGCCACACTATTATTTACTGTCCTGTTTATTCAAAGGTGCTCCATATGAATGAGGACTCTGAACTCTACAAGTGGTCACTGATCTGCCTGAGTTTACAGCCTCTATTCCTCTATTATAATCTACTTGGTTAGGCTATAATGCACATCTTACCAAACTGCAATGGTCATGCAGGCTAGGATAATAGAAGCTGTAATAGTTTAATGTTTTGAAGGGCATCAACTCTAAAGAAGTAAGACTTACTCCAAAGAATATGCTATTAAATTACCCAGAGCTGCTGGGATTTGGATAGCACGCAGACAAATAATGGCAAAAACCCCTCCCCCAATTTTTTCTTTCGCTGTCAAATATTTTTGTGTTCTTTCAATTCAGGGTTTATTGAATACTCAAGTCTTGTCTTCCTAGAATTGGGACAAATTCATAGATATGCATACAGATATTTATAATAATAGATACAGCATAAATGTAAATAATTTTAAATGACAACTTTTTCAGTAGGAGAACTGTGGGTCTGAGGAGGCCTAGATTCCTCTAAAATTTTAAGATTCTTGCTAAATAAAACTCCCATGATTTTCCTGGGGAAAAGGAGAAGTCCTGATGGTTATATTGCTATAAAGAGGTACAAATCTGGAGTGTGGAGTATGTTTAACAAGGGCCTCACAATACTATTTATATTTCCTGTAAAACTGTCTTTTGAAATATGCAAAATTGTGCTGATTGTACATGTTTCAAAGTGCATTGTAAGTATGCAATGCACATCGGGGTAAAGCTTATGCCCAGAGGAATATGTATATCATTATTTAAATTATAATTCTGAAGGCACAGATACGGTCTGTACATAATAAGAACAGCAAGAAATGAGATCTAGGAGGAAGATTTGTTTTTGTAGTAAGTGATAGGCCGAATTCATAGAATATAGTCAAACTGTAATGCGGTGGTTTGGTTTTAGTTTACTGTGTGCTGCAACCCATCCCTTCTGATTTCAAAACCAGAGTTTATGATGGTGTGTTTAATCATAATTTATTCAGTAAACCACAATCAAGTGAATCTGATTTAATGCAATTTATGTCAAATCATCATAAATAATCAACTTTCTATAACTAAAAGGAGTGGTTAATAGTTGTGACATTTCTTTTTAGAATTGTGAATTATTTTGTTAAAATGCATATGTTGCTCAAACAATACCTGAAATGTATACCACTTCAATTGAGGGTTTGGGATGGGCATGACGGTTCTTCTGCTGAAAAATACATGCTCTTCCCAGATGTAAGGCTGAAGCGATTAGATTAAGTCTAGCCTTTCTGATCCCATGGCTCTGTAAGCACAGGAAGTTGAAAAACAAAATGAAACATGAAGCACTCAGCCATGCACATAAAAAGTCAGTTCTGTGGAAGATATTGTCTTACTATAGCGAATATAAACTTCTAGATAGATAATTTCTCAAAATTTTTCTCAGTTGTTCTGTGAGGTCTGTTGCTATCTGGGGGCAGGGCAAGTATGTCATATGATAACAGCATGAGTTCACAGCTCTGATTCATTCAGGCTCAACCGTGCTATGAATGTAAGTTTAGATTTCTGCCCTCCAACTGTTTCTCCTCTTGCCAAATCCTCTGAATGCAGAGATTGCCTCATTTCACCTTGCTGCTTACATTCTCATTGTTAGCTTTCACATATTATATAAATCCTTTCTTTTCTAAGACAAGATTCATAAGGAGTAAAATGTCACACAGCAGATTCCTTCCTTATGCAAGATTGTAAAGGCATACATTCAAAATAAGAACTTTCATTCAGATCTGTCACTTCAGCTAGCCCTTTATATTCATAACTCAGAGTGGTTAATGAAAGTTTTTAATTTTTATATGTTAATGCTCCAAATAATTTTTATTTCAGGTTAATTAAAGTGGGGCTAAAAAAAAGAATAATTCAAGTTGGCTCAGAGGCCTACAAACAGACTCCATTAGATACAGTGAACATTCTCTCCTGCATTCTTAGAAAAGAGGAATTAAATTGGGCTCATAATTAAATTTGTATGACAGTTCACATATTGGATTAAACCTGAATGTAGTTTGCTTAGTATTGGCATAGTATGTAGATGTAGACTTCGCAGTTTATAAATTATATTTTAAGACAGAGATGCAAAAAAATGTTATTTGGGAGTGGCATGCAGCACACCACAATCCTTTTGCATTGCCCAAAGTGAACTGGCCCACATATCTTTGCATGTGGAATGGAACAACTCAATACGGCCAGCTCGCCATGGCCAATTCATCTTAGCTAACTCACCATGGCCAACTAACTGTGGAACAACTCGCCATAGACAACTTGTCACAGGACAACTCGCTGCAGGACAATTCAACAATTCAATTTAATTATTTCAAATAATTAAAAAAATATTTTTTGTCATTCACATTTTATTTTGTCCCTCCTTTGGCATCCTTTTTTTTAAATGATTCTATTCAACTATTTCTTCAATATTAGTGTAACTCTTGTTCTGCGGTGAGTTGTCTCGCAGTGAGTTGGCCGTAGCGAAATGGCCTTGGAGAGTTGACCATGGTGAGTTGGCTCCAATGGGTTGGCCATAGCAAGTTGTCGTAGACCCCTTTGCATGGGTTTAAAACATCCATTTTGTCTCTTTAACTTCTGAAATGTTTGCAAAAAACAGTCTTGGCTCACCCATTTTTATTGTATAGCTTTCAGGAAGTTCTGGAAAGCCTACTGAAGCCCTTGATACAACAGAGGCTTTAGACTGCTGACTTATGGTTTAGCATTATTTGTGAACCCAGCCACTATATTTGATCATCAGTGCCAGGTTAAGACAAATCATGCTTAGCATGATGCATGAACCCAGAATTCTGACTTCTTTGAAATTTGGCTTTATAGCCATAGTCATTTTAAGATTGAACCTTTCACAGGATCTATTAATGTTTATTGCTTTTAATACAATAATAAAAAAATAAAACAAAAGCAACAAACTACAAAGAAATACTATAAAAACACAAAATGCTTAAAAATAAGTAAAAAAATGCAAGAAAAAAACATACTGAGTATAATAAGTTGTAACAATAAACAGTTCACCATTCTATATTTTTTAAAATGCTTCTTGGCCGAGGTGGCGCAGCAGTTAGAGTGCAGTACTGCAGGCCACTTTAGCTGACTGTGTTCAGCAGGTCAGCGGTTCAAATCTCACCGGCTCAAGGTTGACTCAGCCTTCCATCCTTCCGAGGTAGGTAAAATGAGGACCCAGATTGTTGGGGGCAATGTAAATATATATATATATATACATTGCTTATTGGTGTACACCGCTTAGAGAGTGCTTGCACTTAAAGAGGTATACAAGTCTTATAAATAAATAAATAAATAAAAGATCAAATATAGTAGAGTCTATAATTTTTAATAGCTTTAGTTTCTTTAAAGGATTGCCACATTGGAAAAGTTGCTAAAATTCATGCTTAGAGATTCTTACCCATTTATTTTTCTTGAAAACAAAAAAGTGACGCAAATGTGCTAATATGCATACATTAGTATGTTAATAATAATAATAAAGTTGGAAGGGACCTTGGAGTCCAACCCCCTGCACAGGCAGGAAACCCTACACCATTTCGGACAAATGGCTGTCCAATCTCTTCTTAAAAACTTCCAGTGTTGGAGCATTCACCACTTCTGGAGGCAGGTTGTTCCATTGGTTAATTGTTTTAACGGTCAGAAAGTTTCTCCTTAGTTTGTTTGTTTGTTTGTTTATTTATTTATGAGACTTATATACCACTTTAAGTGCAAGCACTCTCTAAGCAGTGTACACCAGTAAGCAATGTATATATACATTTACATTGCCCCCAACAATCTGGGTCCTCATTTTACCTATCTCGGAAGGATGGAAGGCTGAGTCAACCTTGAGCCGGTGAGATTTGAACTGCTGACCTGCTGAACACAGTCAGCTAAAGTGGCCTGCAGTACTGCACTCTAACTGCTGCGCCACCTCAGCTCTTCTAGTTCTAGGTTGCTCCTTGATTAATTTCCATCTGGCACTTCTTGTCCTGCCTTTAGGTGCTTTGGAGAATAGCTTGACTCCCTCTTCTTTGTAGCAGCCTCTGAGATATTGGAACACTGCTATCATGTCCCCCCTCGTCCTTCTCTTCATTAAACTAGACATACCCAATTCCAGCAACCGTTCCTTATATGTTTTAGCTTCCAGTCCCCTAATCATCTTTGTTGCTCTTCTCTGTTGGAGGAGATTTGTTATGATCTTAATGGAAATTCACACTCATTTGTGTAAAATTCACTGGGCAACTCTGAGCTCTAGCTATAGTTGCCCAGTGAATTTTACACAAATGACTGTGAATTTCCATTAAGATCATAGCAAATCTCCTCCAACAGAGAAGAGCATTTCTGCTCTTTTTGGATTTCTGGATCCAGTGTGGCTTATGTGAATTAAAAAATGGGAAAAGATCTATTGAAGTCATGTGAAGAAGAAAGTACACCCCCCTTGAGTTCTATGGTCTTATGTATTAGGACATAGTAAAAATCATCTGGTCCTGAGCAGTCCTTAAAAATAGGTAAATACAACCTCAGATGAATAAGAACACATGACAGATTACATGATGCCATCATTTATTTTACAAAAAGAAAGCCAAAATGGAGAAGCCATGTATGAAAAGCTTTGATTTAATAACTTGTAGAACCACCTTTAGCAGCAATAATGTGAAGTAATTGTTTTTGTATGACTTTATCAGTCTGTCACATCATTGTGGAGAAATTTTGGCCCACTTTTCCTTACAACATTGCTTCAACTCATTGAGGTTTTTGGGCATTAGTTAATGTACAGCTCTCTTGAGGTCCTGTCATAGCATTTCAATTGAGTTGAGGTCTGAACTTTGACTGGTCTATTGGAACACCTTGATTCTTTTTCAGCCATTCTGTTGTAGACTTGCTGGTGTGCTTGGGATCATTGTCCTATTGCATGATCCAATGTTGGTCCAACTTTAGCTGTTGGACAAATGGTCACACATTTGACTCTAGAATACGTTGGTATACAGAGAAGTTCATGGTCAACTCAACGACTACAAAGTGCCCAGGCCTTGTGGCTGCAAACCAAAACCAAATCATCATTCCTCCACCACTGTACTTGATAGTTGGTATGAGATGTTTGCTTTTCGCCAAATGTAGCACTGCATTATGGCCAAACATCTCCCCTTTGGTCTTATCTGTCCAAAGGATAGTCAGTCAATCAGAATAGAGCTGGAAGGGACCTTGGAGGTCTTTTAGTCCAACTCCCTGCTCAAGCAGGAGATCCTATACATTTTAGACAAGTGGCTGTTCAGTCTCTTCTTAGAAACCTCCAATGATAAAGGAGGCACTCACAACTTCTGATAGCAAGCTGTTCCACTAGTTAATTGTCCTTACTGTTAGGAAGTTTCTCCTTAATTCCAGGTTGCTTCTCTCCTTGATTAGTTTCCATCCATTGTTTCTTCTCCTGCCCTCTAGTGCTTTGGAAAATAAGTTGATCCTCTTTGTGGCAACCTCTCAAATACTGGAATACTATTAATCATGTCCCACCTAGTCCTTTTTTTCTTTAGACTAACCAAACCCAAACCCTGCAATGGTTCTTCATAAGTTTTAGCCTCCAGGCCTTTAATCATCTTAGGGACTCTTCTTTGCACTTTTTCCAAAATCTCAACATCTTTTTTTTGTAATGTGATGGCCAAAACTGGATACAGTTTTCCAGGTATGGCCTTAACTAAGGCTTTATAAAGCAGTACTAATATACTTCATTTGATTTTGAGTCTATGCCTCTATTTATATAACCAAGGATTGTATTAGTTTTTTTGGCTGCTGCCACACACTGCTGGTTCATATTTAAGTATTCCAGAAGTCTTGTAATTTGTTCAGATGTAACTTGTAAACCAAAGCCATGCTGCCATGTTCTTTTTAGAGAGAAGAGGCTGTCTCCTGGCAATGCTTCCAAGCAAAAGAATACTTGTTCAATCTTTTTCTAATTGTACCGTCATGAATTTTAACATTTAACATGCTATAACAGGCCTGTAGAGTCTAAGATATTGTATTTTTTTGCAGTTTTTCTGAGCATTGCACAATCTGACCTTGGAGCGAATTTGCTGAGATGTCCACTCCTGGGAAGATTGGCAACTGTCTTGAATGTTTTCTACTTACGAATAATCTTTCTCACTTAGAACGATGTACTTTAAATTGTTTGGAAATGGCCTTATAACTGTTCCCAGACTGATGAGCAGCAACAATTGCTTCTCTAAGATCATTGCTGATGTCTTTCCTCTTTGGCATTGTGTTAACACACACCTCAATGTTGGGGACCAGGAAACTCCTGAAACTTCAGCTTTTATAGAGGTAACACACTTGCTGATGATCAATTGATCAAAGGCACTTGATTAGCAGCACCTGGCTGGTATATAACCTATTCATACCTATGGAAGCAGTAAAGGTATACTTAGTTTTTCACACATGGCTTCTCCATTTTACTTTTCTTATTGTAAAATAAATGATGACATGGTGTAACATGTCATGTGTTGTTGCTGCTTTGAGGTTTATTTACCTACTTTTAAGAACTGCTCAAGACCAGATGATTTTTGCTATGGCTTGATAACGTAAAACCACAGAGCTCAAAGAGGGTGTACTTTCTTTTTCACATGACTGTATGCCATCCCCAGCTTAATGGAAGAAGGTAACAAAATTATACATAAAGAAATGTGTCTGCCACACCCATTTTCTTCAGTAATATAAATTGATCTTAATTTTTTTGTATTACTCCTGCCCCACTCTAGTTGGGATTTTAGACTGGATATGTATAGTGCAGTTTTGCTAGAGCATGGCTAGTTAAGACTTTCACCACAATCAGAGTATTTGTCATAAGTACTATGACAAATAAGTAGAGGCCGCAAGAATTCCAGAAATCTTTTGCCAACATTTGGAGATTGAGATCCACATGAATATAATTGTAAAGAACAGCTTTGCCTGAGGCAAAATGGGGTGAGGGTGCAACTGCCTTTCAATCAGAGCACACCTGCATACGATACATAACTGAGGCGTATCATATATATGTAACTGCCCAGATTTTCCTGGCATTTATTTTTATGTGATCAAACTTTGATTTGGGGAAAGCACTTAGCAAGAGACCCACATATCATCAGTACTGGTTCAATTTCTTGTGATCCTTGAACAATCCTCCATCTTCTACTTCATCTGCTGCTTCCTTAAATTTATCTCTAATTCTAGCTATCCTATTTTTTCTTACATAAACCCATCCTTGCCAGCTCACTGTTTCCCTTCCTTCATCTGCCCTATTTCCTTCTTGCTCGTAACTTTGTATAAATGTTTTTCACAGCCAAAACAATATTTTCATAAAAGCTACTGTTTATTATTTCATTATCTTGGTAATAGTTTTGCTTGTGTCTATTCCCTGGTATTGTTGAGGTACGCTAACATTAAGAGTAGGAGGAAGAGATTATAAACCACACCTACATATAATATTCTAGAATATCTCTGGAACAGAAGGAATATATTACTTCAGTGGGAGGCCCTCAAGTAACAGATGTCATCGACACAATTTATATCCTTTTTTTTGAATTCCCAATTTGTGGGTTCCTACTTTATTGGCATTAATACAGGAAACTTAGGTTTTCTGTTACTCAAAAATACTGGGGGGGGGTGCTCTGTTCTGCAAAGTAATGGGATATTATACATGCAAAAGCTTGTATTGTGAGATTTTTTGATACTGGGAAATATTTGGTAACATCAAAACTCTTAACATAGAGTCCTGTTGGTATTCCAATTTTACTCAAACAGGCTTCCTTATGCAAATAGTGACTTGCCCAATGTAGTCACTTGAGTTTCACGATCATAAGCTGAAATGTTGATTTTTCTACTCACAAAGACAAACCCAACTAAAATGTTCATCTACATCTCACAAGTTTTTCTTTGGAAAATTCAGTGGAATAAGTTTTGATGGGTCTGATTAAACGTTGTCACAAATTTATCACTGCAACTAAGACAACTGGAGATACTGTCTTTTCCTACATATCTTTTAATATTTGCATGAGATGGAGAATAATGAAAGGTGATACATCTTGGCTTCTCTTGCTTTGTTATTCACATCTGCTTCCTATTTCTGCCTAGTTTGAACTTGTCTGCAGCAAATATAAAATTGTTATGGAAAGTGGAAATCAAAGACTGGAATACTCTCTTGAATTGACAAACATTTCCCAATTGCAATCTGAAAATATTTTATTTGGATGTCTTTCTTCCAGTTTTCTTACTGCTGAACTCCTCCTGCTTTGACAACTCAGGAAATATTGGTCAAAATCCAGTGCAAATAAAATTAATGCCAGCTTTCTATAAATCACTTATTTTGTGACAGTAATTAAAGATTGTCAGGCTGGGTCACATCAGCATTTAAAATGTTTTCTTTTTCTCTGCAGTCTCTAGAGAACATCAGGGCAAAATGTTATTTATTTATTGAAAGAACAGTCCCTGATTGCAAATTTACAGTTTAAAAAGAAGGAAAAGAGATGTTGAGGAAAGTGGAAAAAAGCAGCCAGGTATCCATTACATGAAATAGTAGTGTAGTACTGAAATCATATGGTTCAGGGAAGAGACTGATGGACTTGATCTTTCGGGGCAGTTGATAGCTCTCCATGTATGTCTTTGTTGCTGCTGGACAATAATCGAGAAAGGAGTCTAGTGGAGCTGGTTTCCAAAAAATATGTAGGTAGCCATGCTTCTGCTTTTAAAGTCATGCTGGATCTCAGTTCCACCTGGAAACAATCCTTGCACTCTACTGGAAGACCTATGCCCAATAGGTGAAGGCTTCCTCAATTCTGTAGTAGCAAAGAAACTACACTGTGAACAATTTCATGGACACTTAGTTTTATTCCATATACATATGAGGGTTTAAGATAACTGTAGAACAAATTAAGTAATGGGGGAACATGTGTGGATAAAAATTCATATTTATCAAATACTGGCCTAGTGTGCTTACCATTCTAAACCATATTTTGAACATTATAGTTTACACAATGTATCACTGTTGGTTGGGTCAAACAACACAGACCAAATGTGAACTAATCATATTGTAGTATGAGCACAGTCATTATTAATTTCAAAGTAGTCTCAGCCTTTGTTGATAAAACACTTATCTTTATTCTATCATAACTTCCACTACCCTCTTTGTTGCAGCTGATGCATCTACCTAACAAGGGTGACATGTCAACTTGGCTCTCACTGGCTGTTCCATCACCAGTCAAGGATTAAAGCATGTGATCAGGAGCACCATGGAGGTGAGTGGCTTGAATCATAAAACCAGGGATGAATATAACAGGATGGGGAACTCCTGAAATCATGTCCCCCTTCTCCCTAGAGTATTATCAAAGTATAATCTTCTAAGCTCTACGATGGTCCAACTTCTCTTATTCTCCTCTCAGCTCCCCCTTGGTTAAATACTGAATTTCAAAATCCATTGAAACTGGAAAAAGAAACACTTTTTTTTTTTTTTTATTGAAATTTTTCAAAAGTTTTACAAATAAAAATCCACCCCCCCCTCCCCAACCACCCCACCCCCCCCCCGACTTCCCAGAACTGAATATAGGATTATTTAACAAATATTTTAAAAATAACATTTGCAATTTATAAAATAATTAATAATAATAATAAAAATCACAGTAATAATATATATAATAATAATATACATAACATAAACCTTAAAATGAATAATATATACTAAAAAAGAAAAAAAAAATAAAAATAAAAAGAGAAGAGAGAGAGAGAAAGAAGAAAGAAGAAAGTAGACGAAGAATAAAGCATATATATATATAAAAAAAATATATATATATGAATAATAATACATAAAAAATGTATATATATAAAAAAAGAAAAAGAAGAAAGAAAGAGAAAAAGAAACACTTTTAATAGGGACAAGATGGAGAAGATGTATTTATGTATTATTGATTTTAATTATTACATCCTACGTTTATGGATACACTTCTTTCCAAGGTGGTTAACAACTAGATTACTATCACATATTCAAACAAAGAGCAGACAACTTAACAGAATACTGCCATTGCAATTCATAGCCAGCAAGTACAGAAGCTTTTTTCAACTTGCCTGCCACAAGCTTCTTCTCTTGTCGGAGACAGACCGGCAGAGGAACTAAGCCACAGGTCGGCAACCTGCGGCTCCGGAGCCGCATGTGGCTCTTTGAGCCTTCCCCGGTGGCTCCCAGCCTCCTCTGCCTTTGCAGAGAGAGACAGAGACAGAGAGAGGCAATTGCACTTCCCTGCCTCTCTCTCTCGCTCCTTTCTGTGTGTGTGTTTTTGTGTGTGTGTGTGTGTGTGTGTGTGTGTGTAAAAGAGACTGCACTCACATTGTTCTCCGAGGAGCTGAAAAGCTTTCAGGGCGGAGCTCCTCCCTTTGCTGCGTCTCAGCAGGAAGCAGGAAGGGCAGGAGAGAGCTAGCTAGCCCAGCTAGGCTGACTCAGGAATTCTGGGAGTTGAAGTCCATGAGTCATAAAAGAGACGAGGTTGCCTACCCCAGAGGTTGTTGGACAACAGCTTGAAGCTTGCCAGGTGAGCAGCAGATAGGAGAGAGAGAGAAAGAGAGAGAGAGAGGAAAGAGAGAGAAAGAAAGAAAGAGAGTGGGGGAAGAGGAGTGGCAGGCAGACCAAGGGCAGATAGAGAGGGAGGGAGAGAGACAGACAGACAGACAGACAGAGAGAGAGAGAGACCCTTTTGACATCTAAAATGAAGATAACACTGCATATATCCTTTTTTTACTTGTATGTGTATGTGTGTGTATGTGTATATATATGTGTGTGTGTGTGTGTGTACCTACATATACACACATATATACACACACACAAACACACACACACAAACACACACCCCTATAATAAAGGTAAAAAAGGATATATGCAGTGTTATCTTCATTTTAGATATCAAAAGGATTTTGCGGCTCCTGGTGTTTTGTTTTTGGTGGGAAACGGGTCCAAGTGGCTCTTTGAGTGTTTTGGGTTGCCTACCCCTGAACTAAGCGAAGAATTAGTTTGGAATCTCTAAGTATGCACAAGAGGGCAAGGTCTGACTCCGCTTGAATGCCATTGAACCTTATGTAGCCTGGCCTAAGTACAAACTGCCAGTCTGAGAAGATTCTTGTGTTATAGGCATGAGCAATAAAATAGCTAATTGAACTGTTCACATGTGGATCTGACTGTTCACGCCTGACACATAGAACTCTTGGCATAGGAATTTTTATGGATAACAAGCAAGAAACAGAAGTCCCATCTCCACTGAATAACTCTTGAATGTAATGGGGCAATTTCAGTCTATTCAACTCAGTGAAAATAAAAGGAGGGAGGAGCAAGAAATCCCAACAATATTTCTCTAATATTAATTTTACTATATGCCTAAAATGATTCAAGAGGTTTGCCTTTGAGACAGATTTTACAATCCCATTAAATTTGTTTTGCACTTTAGTTTTGTATGTGTCTCTCTATTTTGTTCCACTTACTGGTCTGAAGGGATCTTACCCATTCTTTGGTTCATAACCATGTTTTACTGTCTTATCACAGGATATAATCCCCCAAATTCAATCATGTTTTTGTTGACACACAGATTTATAAGTGCTGATTGATTTTTCAAAATGCTCTTAGTGAAGGAAATTGGGACACCTGCTCTTGGGAGTCTCCATTTTCCTGTTTCCCCTAACAATTAAGCAAAGCTTTTGCTTTCCAGTCATAAGAAAGAACGTTATTTGGCAGCTTTTCTCTCAACCTCTGCTTTGTAAAATGCTGACTGAAAAAGTTGCTGGCTGAGGACAGAAGGGTTTCTGTTTGTTTTGTACAAAGACCACATGCGAGCCACCAGTTTGCAAACTGCACTGTGGGAAATCCAGAACTCTGTCTCATTCTGCAAGGATGTTAATGTCATTCTTCTTTTCCTGTACCAACAAGCTGTTATGCTACATCATTGACTGAAAAACAGACTTAGGAAAAGAAATGATTCAGTAGAAAGGTTCTAACTTTCTTCTTTCCCCCTTCCTTCCTGCAGGGTGCAGATTACCAGTTGCCTTCTGCCAACTCAGCCAGTGTTGCCCTTCCTTCTCCTTCTTCCTCTTCCAGTGATGAAGCTGACATTATGGCTTTCAATGGGGAGCTGGACTTACAACATTACTCTAATGGACCAGGGGGGGCTGGAGGGGAGGCTCGTCCTTATCCCTGTCCTATCTGTGGCAAGCGTTTCCGCTTCAACAGCATCCTGGCATTGCACACTCGCATCCACACCAGCTCCTATCCACTCACTTGTCCCTACTGTGGCCACCAGGCAGGGCAGCGTGCCAGCTTACGTCTCCACCTACGCTCCCATTGTCCTGAGGCCCACACCCGGCTCAGTCACCAGAGCCGCTTGCTGCTTGAATTGGAAGAGCGGGCACTTCTGCGGGGTCAAGAAGAGGAAAAGGAGGAGGAGGAGGAGGAGGAGGAAGAAGAAGAAGAAGAAGAAGAAGAAGAAGAAGAGATGGTTGCTCCTATTCCACCCCAACCTCTACCCACCTTTCACTGCTCTTTCTGCAAGGGCAAGTTTCGTACTGCAGGAGAGCGCGAGCGCCACCTTCGCATCCTCCATCAGCCGTACAAATGTGGGCAATGTTCTTTCGCTGCCACACAGGAGCCAGAACTGCAGTGGCACAACCAACAAGTTCATAACTCCCCAGCAACTTGGACACCCACTCCTCCTGTCCCTGAACCCACCACTTCAGTTCCACCCACCACTCCTGCTTCCACACCCACTCCTTCCTCCTCTGCCTCCACCCCTACGGAGTTCCGCTGCCAGGTCTGTGGTCAAGCCTTCACCCAGTCCTGGTTCCTTAAGGGTCACATGCGGAAGCACAAAGACTCCTTTGACCATAAGTGCCAGGTGTGTGGGCGTGGCTTCAAGGAACCATGGTTCCTGAAAAACCACATGAAGGTTCATCTCAGCAAGTTGGGCCTCCAGAGTGAACAAAGAGGACCAGGACCAGGTCGATCAGCGCAGAGCTTACTCGTGGGTTGTGAGGCTCTGTATCCATCTCTCCTTTCTCCTCGCCCCACAGACAAAGCCAGTACAGGCACTTTCCTGGGTTACAGTGATGCGAGCTGTGCTGAACGACTGCAGGCCACAGCTCGCGCCGTGGAGAGTAGTCAGCAGTGGAGGGAACGTTCTTATGTAGTAGGGTCCAAGCTTGTGAGAGAAGACTCAGGAGGGAACCATCGCTGCCCAGACTGTAACCGGACCTTTGGTACATTCCAGCAGATGGCCTTGCATCGGCAAAGCCACCTCACCCGTGAGAGAGAATGGAACAAGGGACAGTCACTGGGTTCTCACCTTCTCAGTGGACATTGGCTTCCAACAAATGTGAGAGCTTCTACTGCAGCCAACACCAGCTCAGCTCTGCTCACCCAGAAGGAAAAAGGCAAGTACAGATGGAGTCCAGATCACACTTAGCAATTTTATGGGAATGAGCTGGGTGGAGGTGACTGACTTTGGTCACAGAGTATAAGAAGCAAGACTTTCATTTAATTGAGGCAGACAATGGCCCTGGGCTGCATTTAATGTGGCCAGAATTGAATTTTCAATTAATAGAATTAAGTCTGTTTTGAATTTTGGAAGACAATTTGTGGTGTTTTTTCTTCAAAAAACAAAAACCCTAACGTTGCATGCATGAATGTAGGCATCTGTAGTGAAATTATATGCTTTAGTGAATCCCCAAGCAACCGGAAACTGACACAACATCTACATGGTACAAACCTAAACAGGCCATCTTTCTGCAAATTTGAATGCATAATTACTGTTTACATGCAGCTGTTTACAGATTCAGAATAAGAAAACTAGGACAAAAGTCTGGATACCCTTCAGACTGTACTTTGTAATTCTTTCTTTGACAAAAATAACAAACATTTTGTGAAGCCAGCTTAGAGTTATTTCCTTCTCCTCCTTCCCTTCTTTCCCCTTCCACCATCTCCTCCTTTTCTTGGAAATGTTTCACCTCCTTCCTAGGGCTGATAGAGTGACACATTTGTTATCTTCCCTTAGATTTTCAAAAATATTCTAGTCTGAGAACTGTGACAGCCACCCCAAAACCTTTATCTTTATTTCCTGTATTTTATAGATGATTTAGAAACTTCTTTCATGTCATAATTACAATGAAATATCTGAACTTTTTTCAACTTCAATTTTCTGAGTTATAGAACATGAGGTTATACAAGATGTGGATATTTAATTAATTTCACCCATAAGCTGCTGTCATGCAACCCCAAATACAATAGAGGCAGCTCCATTCTTATTGGATGATGAAGTTTTTCTTCACAAATGATTCATCTTTTTTACTTCCAAATGTATCTTGTGAATGTGGTCATTAATCCAAAGCACTTTCTACCAAAACATTGCAAGCTTGTCAAGATTTTCTTCTGCTATTTTAAATAGTGACTTTTGTGAAGTGGTCAGAGAAAAGGTTTCCTTCTGATAACATTCCCATGCACATCATTATTGCATAAGCAACATTCTATACTGTGGATAACTAATCCAGTGTCAACTAAGCTTTTCAGCAGGCCTTTTTGCAGATCTAGCCAGCTTTCATGTAATTGTAATAGATTTTTTCTGGTCTTGCAGATCTTGATTTCAGCAATTCATGTACATTACTTAATAGTCTTTCTCAAAATGAAAGTTAAAATTAAAAATTAAAGTTGTTAGATGGAAACTTCAAATATTTTTTATAGCCTTCCCCTGCTTTATAAGCAAATTATGCTCATTTTCAAATATTCCAAGCAGGCAGCTGCTTTAGAAGAATTGTTGGTTGTTGAAAATAAACAGAACAGTCACAACTTGAGAAGTTAGGGTTAGAGTATTTGCTTACACGTGGAGTTGTCTTTTCTTGAGTAATTGTAGGCCTAACAAATTAATCACTTTTTGGAGCTTAAAAATTTGATGATAATAAAATAACAATGAATTTGGTGTTTGAAACTAAAATGTTTCTGGTTATTTCTTAAGCAACTGCACATAACTATTAAGCATGAATTCAGATTTGCAGAACTTTTGTTCCATGTAGAAGTTGTATCATCTTCTGTTCACTAAGTAAATTATTGAAATAAGCAATTTGACAGGAATGCACAAACATTTGCATTGAACTTATGTTACTAAAAGCTCACTGAATATTATTTTGTGTTTCCAGTCTCAAAGTGGTGGAAAATCACATTGGAAATGTTTATATTATCAAAATGGTAAAAACTTCTACTTTGTAGGGCACATATGCCTATAGATCTAAACTGACTTGTGCTTTAAATGCTACGAACAAATCTTTGAGCAAGAACCCTTTTTTCCCAAACAATGAAGTGAGAAATAAAGATATTAAACATGTTTGCACAATGTGGCTGACCCAGCCAGCTGCTCTCCTGATTACTCATCCTGTACACTGCATGATCAAGAGTCAGCTGGGAAGCAGCCATTTTCTGTGCCTTCCAAATTACTACAAAGGAAAACAGAAAGTATGTTTGGGCATAGGATATTTGGGAGGGGGGAACAAAACTTCCTCACACCTCCAGTGTAAAAATCCTCAGTGTTTCAGTTGAGAGCACTGTCATTTGTTCCTGACAATGCCAATCTGTAAAGATCTCTGGGTAAGCGAAATTTGGATTTCCATGTTCCATGCATGCCAACTGGTTTAATAGGATGTACCAGGTAATAAGAAGAAGAAGGAAAAGGAAAAGGAGAAGAAGTAGTAGTACATCAGATGGTTGAAGAAGAAAAAATGGCTTTGGAAGAATATCTGAAGAACAATGATGAAGATGCACTGAAATTAGTATATCAGGAAGGCTTACTGACTACTGGAGAGACCAAACTGGCCTACAAGAAAGACCAAATGAAGAACAGAATAGAGGCATGGGAAGACAAAGCACTACATGGTCAATACATTAAAAAAATAGCTGGGAAAGCAGATAATAAGAAGACCTGGCAATGGCTAAGAGCAGGAAAATTGAAGAAAGAGACTGAGGGACTAATTCTGGCTGCACAAGACCAAGCCTTAAGGACAAATGCATATAAAGTCAAAATTGAGAAGACAGCAACAGACAGTAAGTGCCGCCTATGCAAAGAAGCTGAAGAAACAGTGGACCACTTGGTAAGCTGTTGCAAGAAGATTGCACAGACTGACTACAAGCAGCGGCATGACAAAGTAGAAACAATGGTGCATTGGAAGATCTGCAAAAAATATCATTTGCCTGTAAGCAAAAACTGGTGGGATCATAAAATAAAGAAAGTCATAGAAAATGATAAAATTAAACTGCTCTGGGATTTCAGAATTCAAACAGACAAGCACCTGCAACATAATACCCCAGACTTAACAATTGTCGATAAGAAAGACAAAAAAGTCTGGATAGTGGACGTGGCAGTGCCTGGAGACAGCAGAATAGACGAGAAAGAAATGGAGAAGATAACAAAATACAAAGACCTACAAATAGAAATAGAAAGACTGTGGCAAAAGCAAGCAAGGGTAGTACCAATAGTCATAGCTCCTTGAGTGCAATCCCAAAACAACTGGAGCACCACTTGAACACCATTGGCATTGACAAATTCGCTGTTAGTCAATTGCAAAAGGCGGCCTTACTAGGAACTGCTTCCATCCTGTGACGATATTTGTAATACCATCAAACATCCACATCTGCCTATCCCAGGTTCTGGGTAAGGACTCGATAGGTAGACAAAATGCCAAATCCAGTCTGAACATCTGGCTGACTGTGCGGTGATCCATGATAATAATAATAGTAAAGTTGGAAGGGACCGTGGAAGTCATCTAGTCCAACCTCCTGCTCAGGCAGGAAACCCTACACCATTTCAGACAAATGGCTGTCCAGTCTCTTTTTAAAAACTTCCAGTGTTGGAGCATTTACTGCTTCTGGAGACAGGTTGTTCGCTGATTAATTGTTCTCACTGTCAGGAAGTTTCTCCTTAGTTCTAGGTTGCTTCTCTCCTTGATTAGTTTCCACCCGTTGCTTCTTGTCCTGCCTTCAGGTGCTTTGGAAAATAGCTTGATTCCCTCTTCTTTATGGCAGCCCTTGAGATATTGGAATACTGCTATCATGTCCCCCCTTGTCCTTCTCTTCGTTAAACTAGATATACCCAATTCTAGCAACCGTTCCTTATATGTTTTAGCCTCCAGTCCCCTAATCATCTTTATAATGTGCCATGGAAATAAAATATCCCTCTTCCACACAGGTGGAAGATATATTTCAATCGGACTAATGCACTTCTCAAATTGCCTCTTCCATTGCTTTTCCCTCTCCTTCAGCACATTACTGCTTTGACATTGCCTTTGCTTCCTAGTTATAAGAAGTTTAGTTAAAGAGATGTTGTCTGCCTCTCTCAATTCAAATTATGCATGAAGGAAATTCAAAGTATGTTGTGAAAGCATACGGTACATTTATGCAAATGAATATGGCATGCTTCTAAGTACATGTTTTATTTCGTACAGGCATTCCACTTTCATTCATTTCATTATTCTGAGTTTTCTTAGAAAATCCAAGGAATACATCTTGGTGAGAGTGCTGTACATTTTCTAAGACTTTCCAAGCTCCAAAGAGACCTACAGTTCTAATAAAGGAGTATATTTGTAGCTCAGGGTTGAAATGATGGGTCCTTAGTGCTCTCCGAGCTTGATTGTTTTCTTGCAGACATTTCATTAACCAAACTACGTAACATCATCAGCACTGATGATATTATCTAGTTTGGGTAATCAAACATCTGCAAGAAAACATCCAACTTCAGAGAGCACCAAGCACCTACAGTTCTGAGTCTTCTTGATGAGAAATAATCTGTTATTAAATGAGGTTAAATCTGTGGTGTAGATATGGACTAATTTTCATACTATTCGCCTGTTTGAAAAAAAAAACACCTATAAGGTTGAAATCACATTAGGTTACTTACAAGAGAATTTGGCCATGGCATTTTGTATGGTGGATATGTTATGCCCTCAAGTGGCAAGAGCTGGAATTTCTCACACTAGACACAATAATTAGGAATTAGTCTTTGACATGATATAGTCTGGTAAACTGCATTCTTTCTGCCTGAGGCTGTCTTTAACAAAACATTAATACAAAAATGCAGGGCAACGTCCTCTCCCTCGTCTGTCTGTATTATATGTGCATTTCATCTTTACTTAAAGACCAGTATAAAGCACATTAAAAACATTTTGCCAGATTTTTTTGAATTTTTTTTATCTCTGCTGCTGGATGAAGCTGCTGAAGGAGAGATTTGCTCATTCACAAGCTGATTGTCAGGGGTGAAAATTGCCCCCTTTATGGTTTTCTGAATATTTGCATATCTTTACTACTGAATGTTGAACAGAACTCATATAAATCCTAATAATATGTAAAGGAACTTTGAGAAAACTGAAATTTCATGTTGTTCATTTATTTTATCAACAAAAACATCTAAGGTGAGGTCTGCCAGTATGGAAAATAATGTCCTTTCCATGTTTTATGAACTGGGATAAGTAGGGCCTGCACTTCTTTGAACATTTGGAGCTGTTACCCTAGTCTCATAACAATCTCACTTTGGCTCCCCTCATTATATTGAAGTTCCCACTGCACAGATTTAAAGTTATATTAGGTTCCTTCAAAATAAATTTCTGAAATTCTACATAAATGAAGTATTAGTGTTCTTTAATCTGGGAAAGTTGCAGAACCATTGCAAAAGCTCTGGAGCTCTATAATCCTCAAAGACAGTGTCTTCTTGAAAGGAAAAAAGTAGTGAAGAATGAATCTTTCTTAGAATTACCATTCTGTCAAATCACTCCCAAGTTCAATATAACATTGTCAATGAAGTAACATAGAACCCCAGAACAATATCTAAGGATCTGTCAGCCTAACTTGTTTTGTTTAAAGATAAGAGTTTATCTAATCATTCCATGATTAGAAAAGCACTGGATAAAAACAGGATTTTTATGTTCAGCCCTAAATTGCACAGAAATGTGGCAGGATCAGAAATGAGTGTTTGTTGCTAGAAAACCACAAAATATTACTGAGTTGAAGCAGTTTTCTATCTTGGAATGGCCAGATATCCTACATCAGGGGTGTCAAACTGCCGGCCCGCGGGCCGGTTTCATCATACCGGAGCTGCGCCCACCCCATTGCGGCAATGGCGAAAAAGCTCGGATACGTTGCACGACGTCACGTGACATCGCGAGTTTGACATGTCTGTCCTACATAATGATATGATTACATTACATTTTGCCTAAAATTAAGTCAGGTAATGGAAATGCAACTAGTTACTGAATCTGAGGGGATGATTACATTTTCAATGGCACCTCAGTTTGTTCTTTCAATAAAATTTAGGCCAGTACATTTTGTGAAATTGCTTAGCAATGTTTTCAATTTTTATGAGGGGTTTTTTGTGTGTATTTTAAATTTTACAACATGAACTTTGATTTTATTGGTTCCCTTGTGGGGGTTTTTTTACAACATATTTTATAATGCATTTAATTTTTGTATTTCACCTTTTGCCCTCCAATATGGTAGCTGAATAAAATAAAATAAAAAGATGGCTGTCTTTGTTTGGAAACCAAAAGAAAGGGAAACTCCCCATTTAATTAAATCAGATTTCCTTTCTATATCTGTATGACTCATATGAAGCTCTTATAATATTCAATGAGAAAGGTACATAAAAATTCAGAAAGCCCTAAAGAGATAAGTTACTTTTTTTGCAAGGATGGGCATAATATTATCTCAAAATGTTCTATGATGTTCACTATTCTGAAATGAGTTGGGACATTATGATTTTTAAGTTCACAAATTCCCTTAAGATTATTTTCCCTATCTTTTAGCTGGTATCTTTCATTCTATACAAAAGAGAGAAGGAAACATCTTCACAATACTTAAAAATAGTGACTGGAATGACTAGGAAGGACCACTTCATCCTTCCTTCCAACTTTCTAGGAAGGAAAAACAAAAGGAGCTTTAAGGTAGTCAGATGATTCCATCTTGTGACAAAAAATACTTTCTCTCCTCTCATCATCCCTTTTTCTGGCTCTGATTTATACAGGTGTGAAAAAAACAAATAGATCTTACACATTTGAGGTTTTCCCAAGTGGTGTTTTTTTTTAAAATCCTCTTGTTACAGTTTGGTAACTAGAAAACCATTCCTCCATTCCATGGTTCCTCTGCCATTGTGCTAGAGTTGTGAGATATGTCACTATTTTCAGTTAACATTTTTTTTAAAAAAAAAAAATTGCCTCTGAAATCAATACTATCCAGGTAGTTCTATGAGAATATAAATTCTTACAGTTCAGCTGCACTTGGACATTTCTGTAGTTTTTTTTATTTTAAAGTTTGTTCATGTAACAATAAAAAATAGAGAAAAGGACTAAAATGCAATCAAATGTGACTTTGACAAACTCAAGCGGCATCAGATGTCCTCAGCATTGCCAACATCTTTGGTTTGTATATTTTTCTTTCCTGTATTTCCGCCTCTAGAAAGTGTTCCCATTTTATTGTGATTTTATTGCATCCCATTTTCTTTTCCTAAATGACAGTTATCTTGCTGAAGGCAGTTTCTTGCTAATAGTGTTTTTATTTCAATTTCAATTTTATTTCAATCTTTTCTTTATTGGAATCTTAGAACAACATACGTTCTGCAGCTATATTGAATACACTGTATATTTCTTTATATAAATTATAGTTCAATCATTTGTATCATTTTAGATATAAATCTAAATCTAGAGTAGTCTAAAATGGGGGTCCCTAACCCTCAGGCAGTGAGCCATTCGGAACAGCTGTGGAAGCGACGGGGGAAAGCATTCGTGCATGCCCGCCGCTCGTGCAAATGGAGCTGTGCACCTGCTCTTGCCTGCCACTTGCAAGGAACCATCCCCCCCCCTCAATCCATAAAGCTGGAAAAGTTGGGGAATTCTGGTCTAAAAGAGGCTGGCAGTGCTAAAGAACTGAAATGATGAGACTCTTGCAGCATTTGTGATTCTAAGCTTTTTTGAAAAAGAATCTGGTCCTAGCAAGCAAATAATGCAAAATACTATGAGAAAACTATATGGAAAAGAAATAAGAACCTTCAAACAATCTTCAGCTCATATTAAAAAATTCTCTTTGTCTTCACTTTGCCTTTTGCAGAAATACAGGGTCAGTCACGCTTGGATGGATCCCGACGAAGCACTGGGAAAGACTGTCCATTCTGTGGGAAGTCCTTCAGATCTTCCCACCATCTCAAAGTTCACCTCCGTGTCCACACAGGTAAGACTCAGGAGTGGCAACATGGAGTACGTAAGTATGGAAGTAGGTGGTAAAGTTCATTTTGCCTACAACTTAACCATCTCTGGTTAAGTCTCTGAAACGGATCCTTTTGAAGGTATGCTACAGGAAGACCATTGGGTTTAGATCACAAATTTCAGTGTCCAAGTCGGGTGAACAACTCCCTTCCTTCCATTAGTATGGTATATAACCAGGGCTGTCTCCAAGGACTGGGATTCTTGAATCCTGTTCTGAGATTCTTCACAGTTGTTGCAGGTTTATTTGTGCTCTCACTCTGCATGTAATCAGTGATAAGACTGAGGCCAAGAAGCAGTAGCTTTTTAGTACTTTCCCTCTCAATGGTTGTATATACTGGGCCCAGAGGCAGTGGCAAGCTATAAAAAATGCTGACAGCAAGTTAAGCTGCCTTGTTTGTGGGTCTTTTTACACTGAGAATCACCCGACTGAAATGTACAGTATCAAAATACTCTTGTTCATTCTAGCAGAGGTTTTGCAAGAAAACTTCTGTGAGGATGTTTACATCTTTCTATAGTCCTCACTTGTCTCATGGCAGGATCCCTCTTAATCTCTCTAGGTAATTTTAAGACAGTATTTCACTCTTCCCCTTTCCTACCTCACATACTGTTATGAAGAGAAAAGATAATTCTCAAGTATGTTGCTCTGATTTGAACAACATACACACATACCTACACACCTATACCTATAAATACATACACATATACATACATACATATATACATACATACATAGATACACATATATACATATAATATTATGGATTGTTTTTCTTTCCTTTGCTCATTTAGTTAATTGCACAGAGAGGGTTTATGGCAAGACTTATTACAGAGAATATTACAGAGAAGATATTCACTCTCCGAAAGTTGTAATATAGGAAGTTGTTTTTGTTCATGGTCAAAAAGATGACATTTTTTATTCCTGTTTCATAGACTGGAAAAGCTGAATCAGTCAGACACTTAAATGGACTCTTGCCATATTTGCAACCAACTAGAAAAAAAATCACCCTAAAGAAAAATAATTACACATCATTGCTGTGCCAATTGATTTCTCCCCTTTTTTTTCCTATAGGTGAGCGCCCATACAAGTGCCCTCACTGTGACTATGCCGGCACTCAGTCTGGTTCGCTCAAATATCACTTGCAGCGCCACCACCGGGAGCAAAAGAGCGCTGCTGCTGCTGCAGCTGCTGCAGCTGTAGCAACAATGGAACAGTGCCACATGCCCCTGGCCCCTACTGCAGTCCCTGCCTTTCCCCCTACACAGCTCACTAAGAGCCATGGGTCCTTCCTTCCTCTAGGTGGTGTGGGGACAGCTCGGTCCCGCCAGTCCCGCCGCAAGTCACTGCTGAACGGGAAGGCTGATTTCCAACCATTGGATCTTTCCCTACGTCCAGCCCTGGCAGGAGGAGCTCTCCATCGTTGCCAGTTTTGTCCCTTTGCCACCTCAGCTCCTGAGCTTATGGAATTACATCTTCAAGTCCATCACAGCAGGAAAGCTCGTACCCGTCGCTGCTCTCACACAGTTCCTAAAGCCCAAGTGGAAGAAGAAATAGTTGAGCTGAAAGAACCAGAATCCCCAAGCCCAAAAGGGGAGATTTCCAAGTCACACAATTTCTGGTCCTCTAAAGATCAGGAAGACTCTCGCCGTCTCAAGTTGCTTCATGGGAAACAGAGTTCTGAGGGAGCAATAATTGCAAGCCTTTCTTCTGAAGCTGCACTGAATCAGCAAGGATGGGAGAACCTATCACAAGACTCTGAGGAGCCAAGACCTCAGAATGAATTGTCTGGCCCACTAGCCCAAAAGGGACCACATCAGGAGGCTTCAAAGACAGGCCAAGGCCTCATGGAATTACAGCTGGAGCCAGTACAGGCCTGAGTCTATTCTGCATATATAAACCAGTTCCGAATCTGTTTAGCTGTCATGAGGACTCTCAACCAAGGGAGCTGGGAATTGTAGCTCTGTTCTATTTATTGGATAATAATAATTCCAGGTCTTTGGGAAGGACTTGATGAGCAGATAAAAATGCCAAATCCAGTCTAAACATCTGGCTGACTGTGTACAAAACCATAATAAGAATGCATACAAAGCTACATTTCCCAAAGTTCATAGGCAGGAGCTTTTCAGAGCTCATAGCATAGTGGTAGAACACATGCTTTGCATGCATTAAAGTTCCAGATTCAATATTTGCTTTCTATCTTCAAGACGAAACAAAAAAATATCAGGGCCAGGAAAAGTCCCTGCCTGTGATCTTGACCTAGTAAGAGGCTAGATGGACCAATGTCTGCCTCAAGAAAAAGCAGCTCTATAAGGCAGTGAAAGCAATTTCAGACCTGTTTACATGTGTAGCGTAGATTTGCAAAGACAGTTTGTGAGTGGTCACCTCACATATGACAGGGTCATGCAGACATCTGCAAGATGTTTTGGAATAAGACGTAAAGTTACCAACTATTTTTTGAAATAGTTCTCTATTTTTAACAGCAGCAAGACAAACATAGCAAGATATAGGTATTACCTACCAAGCAGCTAATAACAGCACAAGAGCTCCAGGAGGAAAAAAAAAAAAAAAAGACAAAACTACAACACAACCAAGTACTGACCCTGGAAGATAAAAGCTATAGCTGCAGTGGAGCATTGGTTAAGGGTGAGAGAAAGCATGGCGAGGAGATTCCATTCATGCCTTGAGTTGATGGGGAAAATTGAAGTTCGGCTGAATGGGATTATAATCCTCTGCACAATCAAGAAAGCTGTTGCTGGGACTCCCAATTGCAAAAACAAAAATACCCCAACTTGCAGAAACTCCCCATCAACATGAAGAGGACAGGTTTAAAGGATATGCTGCTGGTCTGGTGTCCCTATCTGCTCTCCATGCACTGGATATTTGAAAGGGCTGCCGTAGCAGTTCTATTTAGTCAAACAGGGTTTGGGGGTGATATCACTGGGGTGTATTAAGAGTTCAACCCTTTGTTTTCTCCTGAGTTCTGAACTTGATGCTGCTTCTTTTAGGTGCCGCTGTCTGAGGACCTGGCCCCTTGGGGATTCTACCATTGGGACGTGGAGGGTTGCTGGGCTTCATGGGGACAAGACTCCTGTAGTAGTTCTTGAAAGTTTTCTTTCTTTCTTCTTTCTTTTTTTTAAGGGGAGCATTTCTGCAGTTGTAGTTTTTCTCACCATAGTGTTGATGTGGTGGGAGAAGCTGGGCTTGTCCAAATTCTCTATTGCATTCTCCAGTTATTCATAACCAGGAGCCCTGTCCCCATGTCTCCTAGAGGCAGGGCAGGTTTCACCAACCATTCTTGGCCCAAAGGCCCAAGCACTTGGAGTGCAGCTTTGTCTCATCAAATCCAGGTGGTTCGGCCTCTCATGTTTCCGTAGCAAGCTACCTGATGCCAGTATCTTATCTCCGTAGCGATCCAGCAACAGAGCTGTGTTTCTGTAGTGACCTGGCACATCAGGGTGCTTGACAACTTCTAGAGTTTTCTATTTTTTTATTGTTTTCTTGTAGAAAATTTAAAACTGGAAATAAAAATTACATTGAAAAATTATGTATAGCTTGTATGGGTCTGCATTTTAAAACACTGTCTTAAGCAGCAATAGAGAGGTGAATTGTAATTTTCTGATATCTTTGGGTTTTTTTTTTAAAAAAGCCCCCCCTTCCTTTGAAGGATTAAATTGAACTCCCTGAGAACCATAAACATAATCAAGAAGATAGTATAACAGAGCTTCCACTTGTTTTAGCTGCCTCCTCTTTCTATTTGAGTTGTTGGTCCTTTCTCTTTTGCTCTAAGATTGCACATGTTTTAATGGCACTTGAAAACATGTGCACAATAAATAAGAAAGGCTGTTGCATGGGTTTGGGTATGTAGAAAAAATAAGATTCTAATCCTAGAAACCAGGTGAAAAAAAAGTATAACCAAGTTTTGCAAAACTCAATATGTGCACCAGAACCTAGGAATTGACAATCTAAATATGTGAATTTCATGATAATTTTATTCTTTCTTTGAATCTCTCATTTGTACCCTAAAATAATTTGTGCTCTGTCTTATACTCTCAAGGCAAAGTAGACAGAAATAAAACAAATAAAATTTGCAAAGAACTAAAAAAATTGCAAGCTTAAATCAAAGCAGCTATTCATGTATATAAAACATTGATGGAAAAAATCTATTATTATATTATTACACTACCGACATAATATAGCTGGAAATAGGTGCCAAAGATTAACTAATCTACAATAAATTACTTCTGCCAAAATATATAAAGTTCTCAATAAATTCTAATAGTATTTTTAAGACTTAAACTTATTAAATAATAACTGCTAACTGTTGAACTCTGGTAGCCTGATTCTTTTCATTTAGAAGTGAAATAGGACAACATAAAAACAAAGTAATGGCTTCTACATCCTGATTCCTCAGACATATAGAAATATATTAATTTTGTACTCTATTTTAACCCAAAGTAGCCTGACAAAAGTAAATGGCTCTGATTAGATAATACATTTAACCTGTTGCTTAATTCATTTTTTAGATTCACACATTAAACAGGCTTTGTTCACACAGTAAGTCACAAAAATATACACATTCATCCAACTAATTAAGGTTAGCACCCAATTGGCATATTGTGACAATGCATGCAGTCTTTACACATTCTGCTAACATACACATTGCCAATATGTGCTCTTTTAAAGGGGGGAATAAGGGAAAACGGTGAATGACCAAGGGAAGTGGTGATGAAAAGTGCATATCGTGTTAAAAAGTATTTTATTTATGTATTGTATTTTCTAGATTTAGATACTATCTTTCCTCCAAGAGTATAATAGCATATACAGATAACTTTTATTGTCATTTTTTACTGTGGGCACGACACACATCAAAAATGAAATTTCGTTGCCTGCTCTCAAAGTGAACACATACATGACACACACCTAAACATTCTATATGCAAATATATATACTATACACAATATATGTATAGACCTACACCCCTACATATACATATATGAATATTAAACACTGTCCATCTTGAATATATAACGGAAGGAGGAAGCTTGAGAGTTCACAGCATTTGGTCCTTTTTTATTCAGACCAAATATGACCCAATTCTGTTCAGTTTTCAGAGGAGAGATGGATGGAAAATGTCCCAACCCCATTTACTTTTAATTTTTCCCCCATATTCTTTTGGGTTGGGAAAAAAATGTAAGGTTTTTTTTTTTAATCCTCCCCCTTTTAAACCTTTTTCCTGTAAACCACACAAACAAGCACAAAATTTGCAGAGGTATCCATGATGGAGGTAAGTGACTGGGACAAATGAAACCAGCATTTAGTATTTATAGAAGGGCTGTAAATTACATTGGAAAGGGAATGACAAATTGCTTGGTCCCATTCCATCACCAAGAAAGCTGTGTGAGGACAGCTGAAGCTTGATTCAAAGGGATATTATTTTTTAATGTTGAATTACTAAATTCTTCTAATAATCTTTTTGATAAGAAATCAAACATAAATAAACCTAGGTCCTTAAAGCAAGAATCCTTTTCCAATTCTGGTTCTGTAAGCACAGAACACATTTTTTAAAATTACAATATGCTGCACTCTGTGTGGGCTTAGAGGCAATGTTTTTAATTATATTAACGTCTAACTAAAAACATTGAAAAACTGGTCATAGAAACTCATTTGGCTCACTTAATACATTAAACCATATTTTACTAACAAAATCACAAGTTGTTTCAATGATCGCACTGAGCTAAGTCACAAACAGAGTTGCCACATGTGGCTAGCAAAAATCCAGGCAACCACTAAATGCAGCAAAGGGATATCCAGCGCTAACTTGGTGCTCGTTGGTAATTGGTTCTGGGAGGCATGATGAGTTCGAAAAACAATGAGTACCAAACAATCTTTTCCCATAAAGAATAATGTAAATACATTTAATGCATTCCCAAACGAAAGACAATGTACATTTTTAAGGCAATATGTAAATAGATAGGATTGTATATCATCACTTTACATGAGAAATAAACATACAAATTAATAAATACTTAGATTAAACAAAATAAAAACTTCACTTTACCCGTACTGATGAGGAGAAAAAAGCATAAAAATAAACAAAATGACCACACAAGACAGCAAGAGGATGTACATAAGACAAGAGCTACCATGTGACTAATGTGTCACCCTTGGTTTCGACTGGATAGCCGAAAGGATAGCACGTCACAAGGCAACCATCACCAACAAGTTCTAGCTTGCACGTTGAGTACCAACGAACAACAACTACTGGAACAAAATGTTCTTATGAAAATGTGCTTGGTACCAAATTCGATGAGTTTCAAAGTTGAGTACCAAGGTACCACTGTAGAAGATTCTGCAGGATTTTTTTGCAGCTCTGATCTAGAACTAGTCATAAGGTACATTTTCCAAACCACGACAATTATACACAAATTACATGTATGCTATCCCAATCAAATGAAATCTTAGTACAACTGGAGAATTCACTAAGTCTGCAATCCTTTATTTGGAGTGAAACTTGATGGGATTTACATTGGAGCCAACATCTCTAGAAGAACTATGCTCAAACTGCAATTAAGCTGTATCTTAAAAAGTTATTAGCACTGTAATTCCCTTTCCAGATGCCAAATGTGAAGCTATAATTGTTAAGGTTTCACCTTATAACATAAATATAAACCAGTTGCCAAACATCTGAATTTTGGTTGCATGACCATGGGGCAGGACCCAGCAGGCATTCCTCATTCCAAAAAGGAAATATCTTGGCAAATACAAGGAGAACTGGAGGAATATTTAAACAAGGGACAGTGAGTTAATTGATACAGAACATCCCTGTCCCTGGCAGATGTGATCTCAGAACCACTGAACTCTATTTTTCAAAGACCCTGGAGCACTAGGGAACTACCAGAGGACTGGAAAAGAGCTGATGTAGTTCCCCTCTTCAAAAATAAAAATAAATCTAGGAAACAACAGACCTATCAGCCAATACCTGGGAAGATTCTGGAAAAGATAATCAAACAAGAATCCGCAAACACCTAGAGGCAAACAAAGTCATTACTAAAAGCCAACATGGGTTTATAAAAATAGATCATGCTAGACACATCTTACTGCATTCTTTGACCAGTTACAAAATTAGTGGACTAGAGGAATGCTGTGGATATAATTTTCTTGGACTTCAGTAAGGCATTTGATAAAGTTCGTATAGGGTTTCCTGCCTGAGCAGGGGGTTGGACTAGATGGCCTCCAAGGTCCCTTCCAACTTTATTATATATTATTAAATGCAAGAGTGAAATCTTTCTAGCAGATGAACTTAAAACATTCCTTCCTGCTATCTTTAGGCTGTTCATAAGAGTACACAGAGAGAAAAAGGAAAACAAACAAACACATTTTTTTTCTTCACTGTTTGTTGGCCAGACAAACAGAGTGAGGTATTTCCTTTTTGTGGCTTATTTTAAGCAGAATTTCTAGCACAATTTAAAATTCCTTTTTCTTTGGATTTGAAACAGTTAACAGTCACATTTACCTCTCACACACAGACTTTGACAAACATATATACACAAAGACAAGAGAACAGAAAAGTAAACAAGTCTTAGTTTTACACATTCTAGTCATTCCCACCATAAATTTCAGATAACTCAAGTTAGGGAAGGCACACATTTTAAATATACCACGTGGTTGCATAGAGAAGAGAGAGAGAAAAAAGAGAATCACTATTTCTTATTTTCCCTTAAAGTACTTTTATTTAGCCAAATTGGTTTCCTATCAAAGCCCTAAGCAAAGTGTTTTTTTTTTACATATAGTTTCTTTACCTATCTCTTTTTCATACGAGCCTGGACAGGTAACTGATTCTTGTCCCAGGCTTCAAGCAAGCTCTCAACTGCAGAACCTATCTCAGCCCTTGAATTGGAACCTCCCATGCTTCTATAACGGGATTTTCCTCTAACGCTAAAGGGCACTACACTAGGCCTCCTTGTGAGACTTCCTCCTTCCACCACGGTTTTGTGGGTCCAAAAAGGGGACTCACGGAGCACTCTGGATCCCTCTCAGAGTATGTGGGCTCCTTGAGGGATCTGCCACGTTTTCAGACCAAAAAGGGGTCTGTACAGACACTTATGGTTTCCCCTCAGAAGGTACGGGTTACTCTCTGACCGGTCGGCTTCACACCACTGTTTTGCCGACCTCCGATGTCCATGAGGACCTCTGCTTGCTTTCAGAGGTAAGTGGCCACTCCTAGCCCGAGGCTTAATTTCCTAACTTTGCTTTGCTTTGCTTACAGGGCCTTACCAGCTAGTTGCCCAAATCCAATTCTTTCATTCACTCATTCCATTTCATTTTCACACAGCCTTTCCCTTTTCCCTAACAAAAGGTTCTGTGCTCTGACCAAACCCCCATGCTTTCCAGGTTCTGCCAATTAAACAGATCCTTTCTGTGGCTAGGAAAGACCAGATTGGCAAAATCCAACTGTGATTGGGGAAAAAAAGTCTTTTTACTCACACAAACAGAAATACACACATTTCTTTGTTCCCCTGGGCTTTAAACTTAAAATTTAGAGGTACTC